CTATGCAGTATCATCGGGTCGTGTTGCTTGTGAAAAATTTAAGAATGCCATTCTGTATATTGCAGAAGATGCCCAAATGAAATCTTCGGAGAATTACGGAATGCACCCAGTCACTAATTTTTAAAAATTGGAACTTTTCTTCTGTAAGCTGGCCCTACCAGGTACTGCCCACCGATACCCCCCCCTCCCCCCCCCGCATGAACTTTGACCTACTAGAGATCATAAAATAGGAATAGTGAATGGTGGATAAAATCTCTTCGTGTCATTTGCAGTGAAATCAGCAGTGAAATAATCTCCTGATTTCCACTGCTGCAAAGCGCAGAGCTTCCTTTTCGACACCACCACAAAATCAACTTTCTGGAATACCATCGTCTCCTTGACGATGTCCTCGAATCTGGATTGTTGTGCGATGCTATGAAGTTGCTCGGACCTGTTGGCATAAACTATCAACAGCATGAGATTCTTTTGCTCTTAATGATACCACAACAGGCGTCTTGCTTAGTGAATTAGAAAACCGCAAAAGGTGAAACGAGATTTCCAAGGGGTCATTGGTACCCTGCGTGGTCTCACAAACAGCTCGATGGCGGTGTTGTACCCTTTGCGTGGCCTCGCTACCAGCTCGATGTCGAGTGGTTTCGATTTCATCCATTCCATCAGCAACGATGAGCAACGAGAACTCACTCTACCGGTACCGCTACAGTATCTCGCGGATACATATTAATATCATCAGAATACACGAAATCCAGTGCCGATCCTGCGGTCTTGTCTTCGGTAAAAATTTTGCTTGTTATTCCGGCGGAACTCTTCTATATTCTTTCGGCGAACCTTTCTTCCTTTGACGGACTATATCTGTCTTGATTTCATTTGGTTTCGGTTTCGGTACCGAAATTGTGAGACAACAGGAAATGGATCAATGATGATCAAAGGACGCAACAGAGATTACGGCCAATACTGTACAACATACCACTCTGATCGAACGTACTTTTAGATCGAACTATCATATTTCCTGACAACCACCAGATCTATTCATCCTGATAACTATAGCCTAGATGAGGTAGCTGGAAGCGTAATTCTACTAGCCACCTTTGCCTCTTGCTGACTACGAGTGTACACCATTACCCGTAGGGAGACAGTTGGACATTCTTGTTCGGAACGTCTATACCCCTACAACCTTTCCTACCCTGTAGAGGTTTGGTCTGGTCTTCACTATATATATGACACGTTGTTTCATTCGGGATTCGAATTATTGAGTCATGGAAGAAATTGATCGATCCATTCATCAAGTTATTATTCCCATGTGGGACCTGAGACTTGACTTGTTACACCAAAAGTTCTCGGATAATAATACGGTTCAGGACCGCCCCTCGATGACGAAGTTTGTTAGTGCCGTATCTTGCGAGTGCCGTATTATTGATATTCATCATCTTCTTCTGATATGGTGAAGCTCACAAATTGCCGATTTGCGGCACCACAGGACATCACTTTCCCATCAGTCCATCATGGCATCATCTAACCAATACAACGAATCATCGTCATGCAGACCATGCAAAAGCGGCCGTCATCAGCCTGGAACGGGTCAAACTGTTCCAATCATGCGGAATCGACAAAGCGGTAACCACGACGTGCATAATGCAATGAAACCAACTGAAGAAATGATTGCGTCTGAATTGTACAAACTATCAGTGCAAGAAAGAGTTAAGGCGTTTGACGATGTCCACTGCGTAGGAGAGGAGCTTAGGGAGTCCTCTGAAATGATACAGAAATCTCTTGCCGTTTTTAAGGAGACGATAAACAAGGAACGAAACATCTTCTATGATATTGCCATGACCCAAAACAGAGCTTATGTCGAAGATCCTTCGTTCCGACTGAAGTTCTTAAGAGCCAATAGGCACAATGTTGGTAAATCTGTTCGCCAAATGATGAGTTTTCTGAAGGAAAAGGCAACGTACTTTGGGAACGACAAGATTGCTCGGGATATTACCCTCGATGACTTGAATGAAGCGGACAAGAGCCTACTCTTATCCGGTTTTTACCATATCCAGGAAGAAAGAGACCGAGCTGGCCGAGCCATCATACATTGGTTCGGTAGTATGTTGGGTAGAGTCAGACCTGAAAATCTGGTACGGATGCGAACATGTGTCTTGCAAAGCGTTATGTACTATAGCTGCTCACCCAGTTGCACTCTTGCGATTTTTTCATCAGATTCGAGCTGCGTACTTTGTTTGGATCAATATCTTGCTTCAAGAACTCACAGTACAGACGAAGGGAGTGGTGACCGTGTATCACAATGCTTCGAGAACAGGTGTTGACTTCGTAATGCCCGGCGTAAACTTCATAATGACGGTATCAAATGCCACAGCATCTTTTCCCGTCCGTTTCTCGTCAATGCATTATTGCCTCCAGACTACTGAGGGTAATCTTGTACTGAACAACTCTTTTCTGGGGGCGGTAGTGAAGACCCTTCCAGTATATTCGAAAGTCCGTAGCCGAATTCATGTCGGTAGTATCGTTGAGCTCCAGTATGCGCTTCGAAGCCACGGTATTCCCATGGATACATTTCCGGTTGATATAGATGGGAATATTCGTGATGACATTTTTTATGTATGGTTTCACAAACACCAACTGGAACAGAACATCGCTTCGACCGTCAGTGAAGCGAAATCGCTACGGACGAAAGAAGACGAGGCCCTTGCCCCTACTAAGACTGATGTACTGTTGGGACGAGGACGGGTTACTCAATCATGGCCAGGTAATATCAAATGTCGAGAGTTTCTCGAGAAGCACAGGTCCGAGTACGATAAGCTCCCCAGAAACGAACGGAAAAAGAAAGCTATGGAATTGACCCAGGAATTAGGTGCCAAGGGGGTCCGATTCTTTGAACAAACAGAGCCCGGCGAATGGGTAGAAATTGATTTCTTCGAAGCGACCAAGAAAGTCATTCAACTCATTAGAACGCTTCGGAAGAAGAAATAGAGGTGTGGACATCGTGATGCAGTCCGAGTCCATTGCAGCATCAGTACCGAAATGAACAATTTTGAGCCATTTAGACATTTTTGCATCCTACATATGTCAAGGTGGAGATCACATTGGATCTGGAGCTCGCTCTGTAGAAGAGAAAGAAGGAACACATTTTTACTCCGCAGTTTAATTCTTACTGATTCATGTTCCTTCTCTTTTTTATCTGGACCGCTCCAGTAGTCGTGTAGCTCTATTTCCTCTCTTTTCGGGCAAGGTTTGGTGTTGGGTTCCAATACTCCGATTTCCGTGACCCATCTGTCAATCTCGTGTGTATTGAAAACAAAATTACATAGCCATTCAGATATACTATATGTGGGCATATTGACACTGATGCAATGCCATCTCGTGTCCTTCGAAAAGGCAGTCTCATCATCTTCCTACGTCCTTCCCACCTAGGAATTTGTTTTGAGGTTCCGTGTGCCGGCCTCTCGGTCCTATAAAGTCAGGAGACCAACAGCTGCCATTTCTTCAATCGGTACGTAATGCGTCATCTTTGTTCGTGACAGATGATTCGATTGGTCTCACATCTTCCTTCATCGAACTGATGAAGCCAAGCTTCGACATGGCCTGATCGACATTATGGACCCCATCATCAACACCGATGGATCCAAACCCCCGTAGTAGTAGTTGCCAAAACAGGACCTACTGTACAGAGTTAAGCGACAAGTGACGAGCCACATGATGCAAGCTTTCTCCTGCTCTTGGCGGAGACCCGAATAGTACAGCTCGCTTTCGTCCCTATCAAGAAGCGCAATGGCAAGAACAGTTCCGAAAGCTCGTCAAGTGTTGACGAGACTTGTAGCACTGTTGTATTCCTCACTCTTGCCAAGAAGATCCGGTCGTTGCTCGATGAGTTAAGATACAACGATACCAATCCAAAAAATTCAGTGATAACAATCGTACCTCTACGATTACTATTCATTTTTTGCAAGGGTTGGAATCTATTGGCTTCGTGTGGAAATCAGCCAGGGAAGCTGCAGGAACAATCCTCATAATCAAACGTCTCGGCATGCGATGGCAAGCGAAGCTCAATGAGTTGAAGACAACCAGTCAAAGATCCGGACACTAAACATTTGGAAAGCATATTACGCATAACTTCACTCAACTCCTACTTTTAAGACTTCGACTTGCTTTTGCGTGTTCTTTATGTATCAACCGTAGCGGTATATATCTGGTTCGAAAAACGTCATTTTTCATTTCTTTTTCCATACCTACGTCAGGAGGAATGGAACGTAATGGACGATGTCTACCGTGAGGGCGACGAAGCCTGCATGTCAACGATTGAATCCACGCTCATAGCCAAGTTCATTACAGTGACGGCAGCTGAGTGTAACTTCTTGTGCCATTATGTCATGGTATTTCATGGTATTTCATGAAATTCTGGTTGCATTTTTTCAATCCCCCGTTTCTTGGCATTCCCCTCCTCTCGTCTAGATTCCACGGTGTTTTCAAACGTCAGGAAGTACCGGTATGATATATAATACTGATGAGCGGCACTATACGTGGGACGTGGGTATGTACTAAGCTCCACCAAGACACCGTTACAGATCGTTCGTTGCGCACGAACAGCGCCGTGGTAGGCATCGCGGCGATGTACGTACCCCATATATTGGTCCACGTACTGTACAAGACATATAAAATAATGTATGCGTTATGAAACGGCAAAAGTTGTGTATTATTTTGCGTGTTCTTTATGTGTCGGCCGTCTATTTGGTTCGAAACACGTGGTGATTCTCGATGTTTAGTGGCCAGCTTTTGTTTTATGAAGGAACGAAATATTCTGTAATTGCAACACTCAAAAGAGCTTATTACGTCGATCCTTCGTTTCGACCACGAAAAGTTGTAAAAAAGAGCAAACAGGGACATTGTTGGTAGATCTGTTCGTCAGATGATGAACTTTCTGCAGGAAAAGGCGAAATACTTTGTTGACGACAAGGCGAAGCTCAAGAACTGCCCAATAGCGGGGCAGGATATCAGTCCCCATGGCATCATCAAACCAACCATGCAGAGGCGGCCGACAACAGCCTGGAACGGGTCAAAGTGTTCCAATCATGCGGAATCGACAAAGCGGTAACCAAGATGAACTGCACGCAATGAAACCAACTGAAGAAATGCTTGCATCTGAACTATACCAACTATCCGTGCAAAAAAGAGCTGCGGCGTTTGACGATATCCATTGCGTAGGAGAGGAACTGAACGAGCCCACTGAACTGAAACAGAAATCTTTTGACGACTTTGAGGAGATGGTAAACAAGGAACGAAACATCTTCTACGATATTGCCATGACCCAAAACAGAGCTTATGTCGAAGATCCTTCGTTCCGACTGAAGTTCTTAAGAGCCAATAGGCACAATGTTGGTAAATCTGTTCGCCAAATGATGAGTTTTCTGAAGGAAAAGGCAACGTACTTTGGGAACGACAAGATTGCTCGGGATATTACCCTCGATGACTTGAATGAAGCGGACAAGAGCCTACTCTTATCCGGTTTTTACCATATCCAGGAAGAAAGAGACCGAGCTGGCCGAGCCATCATACATTGGTTCGGTAGTATGTTGGGTAGAGTCAGACCTGAAAATCTGGTACGGATGCGAACATGTGTCTTGCAAAGCTTTATGTACTAGCTGCTCACCCAGTTGCTCTCTTGTTTTCTCCCTCAGATTCGTGCTACATACTTTGTTTGGATCAGTATCCTGCTTCAAGATCCTGTAGTTCAAAAGAAGGGGCTAGTAACCGTATATCACAATGCATCGAGAAGAGGTGTTGACTTCGTGATACCCGGAGTAAACTTCATAATGACGGTATCAAATGCCACAGCATCTTTTCCCGTCCGTTTCTCGTCAATGCATTATTGCCTCCAGACTACTGAGGGTAATATTGTGCTCCAAAACTCTTTTCTGGGACCGATAGTGAAGACCCTTCCAGTATATTCGAAAGTTCGTAGCCGAATTCATGTCGGTAGTATCGTCGAGCTCCAGTATGCGCTTCGAAGCCACGGTATTCCCATGGATACATTTCCGGTTGATAAAGATGGGAATATTCGTGATGACATTTTTTATGCATGGTTTCACAAATACCAACTGGAACAGAACATCTCTTCGACCGTCAATGAAGCGAAATCGCTACCGACGAAAGAAGACAAGGCTCTTCTCGCACCGTCAGTGGGAACGACTGCGCCTACTGAGACTGATGTACTGTTGGGACGAGGACGGGTTACTCAATCATGGCCAGGCAATATCAAATGTCGAGAGTTTCTCGAGAAGCACAGGTCCGAGTACGATAAGCTCCCCAGAAACGAACGAAAGAAGAAAGCTATGGAACTGACCCAGGAGTTAGGTGCCAAGGGGGTCCGATTCTTTGAACAAACAGAGCCCGGCGAATGGGTAGAAATTGATTTTTCTGAAGCGACCAAGAAGGTCATTCAGCTCATTAGAACGCTTCGGAAGAAGAAATAGAGGTGCGTATATCGCTATGCAGTTCGGGCCCGCATGGCAGTATCAGTACCGAAGTGAACAATTTGGAGCCATTTCGACATTTTAGCATTTTACATATGTCAAGGTGGAGATCGCGATGTTATCTTGAATGAATTGCCTGGTCCCACAAGCACCAAGGTGAACAGGGTAGACGCAACTTATCTACCCTTACCTTGGATGGGAACGTGTCGACGTCTACCAAACACAATTTGGTCCATGCTGCCTCTTATGGAGCAATACCACAGTGTTCGGGTCATATTAATCATCCTTTAGCTGCAGAAAGTTCAAAGTGTTTTCATGCCATTGCCTCCTTCCGCATCACTCGGCATGGTATCATGAGGGGGGGAAATGTACTGTTTGCACGACGAGTCAATATCATATTTTGACAATTTCTTGAAAATCAGGGTGATGACTACGACAAGGTCGCCAGGAACGACCGGCAAACAATTTCCATTAGATATTGGCTCAAGAACTTATGGCCAGTGCGGTCTGGCTCTTCGAACGAAAGGGATTTGGTGACTGGGAAGCAGCAGATTTCGCAGTTGCACTGAAGAAAGTCAGCCAGCTAGTTTCAGATCGATACGATAAAACACATAGAAGGATCGAATCAAGGCCAAATACAACGCCCGCATTTTGTGCAACTTAAAAATATGAACGGAAGAAATGCAATCATCCCAACTATGTCTTTTCTAATGGTTAGCGTCTTCCTCCTCTTTCTTTTCCTCTTCGTCCTCGTCATCGCTTCCCTTGCTCTTAAAGAGATGTGGCAGAATCCCTTCCAATTCTGCCACCGTATCAATCACATGGTCGGCATATTCAAAATCCAGCTGCGATTTCCCATCTCTAGTCTTGTGGCCCACCAAGACTGTTTGCCAACCAGCTTGCTTCGCCACACGAATGTTGGTTTGGGAATCGTCCACTAGAATGCAGCGATTGGAATAGTCTGGAACGGTAGGACACTTGACAATTTTTCGGGCAAATTCCAAGGCTTCAATGTCGTGTTTGGTGTAAAAGTTGACACTGCGAACATCAATGATAGGAAATTGGTTCTTGACGATAAATGACTCGTAAATACCCAAAGCTTGCAAGCATCGAGTTGCATGTTCTTGAATGGAAGCCGTGAACACACATGGAGAGACCCGTTCCAAGTCGATTCGTTTCAGCATGGCGTTCAGGTCTGCGTTGGGTAATATAGATTCAGTTATCGGTAACTGATCATGAATTTGAAAGAGCATGTCTTCCGTGTCAAACTCAGGTCGTCCAACTCCCAGACCTTCCACTTGCAAACCTCTCAGGCAAGTTCCATATTTCTTGTACAATTCATAAGCCTTGCCGTCGGGCAGCTTTAGGACATTGGTGGTATAATCATTAATCTTTTTGGTTAAGGAGAGAGCAACTTTCCAGTCATCTCTATACAGCGTGTCATCACAATCCAGAAAGAGATAAAAGTCTTTGACTGGGTGCTCTTGTTCCGTCATGGTTTCTGTTCTAATGGATGATGTTGTTGATGATGGTGATGATGTCGATGTTCTGGGTGTCCGAAAATTCCGACCACGTGTTTCGTCATCATTTGTGGTGGCGGGGGCGGCAAAAAGAGGTGATTTGAAATTCAAACGACCCCCAAAGAAAGTCCGATCCTGGAACAGTAATAATAATAATGACGATGATGATGATGATATCGAAAGAAGTGACAATGGCAGAAGTTTCAAAATGCGCAAGAGTTCCATTTGGCCAAAGAGCCAACGAATGCAAAAATCTCTAAAAAATGGAGTTTTCAAGTCGCAATCCTTCAACTGATGAGTGAGTCTAATAGAACGAGATTGACCATGTATTTTTTGTGTTGATGTCGTTTTTCTCCGAACGTCTGTTCGCCAGTCAGGCATAATGGCAACCATACTCGTTGTGGGTGAACAGATTATTTTAGATGATACACAAGTATTACATATTTACATGAATAGTATAGCGACAAAACAACCTTTGGCCGGCATGCTGAAAGGAGTATATTCGGTGGCCAATATTAGCTGCTACTACTATAGTATCGTTGTCAGGAATGGTATTTCTTCATCAACTCGTCAATCTCCCCTCTTGGTGCAGGATTGCTGGCTCCCATTCTCGAAATGCAGCTTGTACCCACAGCACATCCATATTGTAATGCCTGTTGGACGCTCTCTTTTCTCGAAGGAACAACTTTGCTGGCAGTAGCAGTAGCAGTATCAGAATCCTCCAATAATGAGTCCGCAGTAGCAGCAGCAGCAACCGGAACAACAAAAAGACCGTACAAAAAGCCAGAGATAAAGGCATCTCCGGCTCCCGTTGGATCCAATGGGTTTTCCACCGACGTTGGCGCCTCTTGCCGAGCCAGAATTTGTCCACCATACAACGCCAAAGCACCCTTGGGGCCCAGTGTGACAATTACGCATGTACTGGGACTCGTTGTTTGAAAGAACCTGGCCATGTCAATCCAATAGGATTCATCATCAGAATCTAGGTCCTCCATACAACTAGATTCCACTTGTTGATGCTGTTGTGACGACGACAACGACGATGGCGACTCTTGACTTTGTGATTTCATGGTGGTGGCCTGCGCAATCTTTTCCACTTCCACTTCGTTGCAAAACAAATAGTCAATCAATGGTAATAGATCCATCAATTGACCATCCCATGCTTCGGTGGCATCGTACTGACAGAGTAAAGAAGTGACCAAGTTCTTATTGTCGCCACCGCCACCACCACCACCACCTTCTTTCATTTTAGTTTGAATAATCGTTTGCAAGGTCCTCTTGAGTGCGCCATCCCAAAATCCGGGAATGTTGTAGTAACCTGCCACGTGCACGAATAGCATTTTTTGGTTCGACGACGATAATGTTAGGCGACCCGTGTCAATGTGCCTTGCCTCAAAGGTTTCCATGACGCCCAAATGCGTCAAAAAGGACCGCTCCCCATTGGCCACCAAGACGGCACAGTGGCCAGTACTACTATTGCTTGCATCAGGATGACAATTGTGCAGATCAAATCCTTGTTCTTGGGCATGATTGCACAGTAGCATACCATACGGATCACTTTCATTGACGGCCGTGTACAAGGAAACAGTTTGTCTTCCTAATAACTCCGCTGCCGATACTAGACTGCAAAGATGGGTGCAGGTATTCAATCCAGATCCACCCGCCATGGTGGTAATGGGATGCTCGAGGCGGGTATCACCTCCAGCTTCTTTTGGGAATGGTCCATCAAGGTGACATACCAAATCCGCAAAGGCATCTCCCAAGACAACGAAGGATGACTTTTGGTCGTTGTCGTCGTCGTCGTTGTTGTTGTTGTTGTTCTTTTTCTCAGTGGTGGTATTATTAATAATATCACCACTGTAAATAGTCGTATTCATCATCCTGTCAACCTGCTAAATGAGCTATCCTTGGATGTTGACTGACCTCAATGAGACTTCAGTTGATCACTTCTGTACATGTACGTCTCGGTATTGATGTATTATGGAAACAGTCGAGCAACTACCGTATATATGTAAGTCATGGCAAGTTTCAATTTTGTGTACAGATGATGGATGCGATTATGATATTTTTAAAAAAATGACTTTTGTAAGTCGGTCGAAGGAGTCGGATGTCATTTATTTTCCTTCGGCTCAGCGCATATAATGGCGCGCGAGATATACCTTGCAATTCATTATTGTTGTTATACAGTGCCTATATGATATTCAATATCGAGCGTCACCGCCGCATATTGCTTTCGTGTCTACCTGGTACTCGTGTGTTGATTTTTCCAATTCTAGTCCCTGTCTGATACTCGGCATAGAATGGAAGCTGCTAGAACCATGCTCGACGACGAGTTGCCTTTGTGGAAAATGGTGGAGATGAAATCGCCATATGATACATCAGCAGATGACACATCGACGACGACTATAGCGGACAAGGATGACCGAGAAGCATGCCGGGGGATTGAAAGTGGTGCTTCATTTGTCATTCTGAATGTGATTGAATTCTAGTACTTCTACTAGTAGAGGAACGGATCTGCAGCATAGATTTGTAGTACTCGCCTGTTCGTAATCACCATTGTCTTTTTGGACATCGTTGGTCCCTAATTTGATTTGACTCCGTGATGCTAATTTTTACGACAGAATCTGACATCTATACCGGTACGTAGATGATAAGACGGGAAACGGATTGGAAATAAGCAAAAAGTGTTTAGGTACGTTTCTAGTCTCTTTGTTTCCTCATTCAGCGCTAAAACTGTACGCAACAATACAATAATATAAACTGCAACATAAATAAAATAAGACCGTACAGTACATCGCAGTATATTATAGCATCATCCCTATCGCTGCACGCTGTCACAATAATACTGGAGACTATTTCGACTTGACTACGAAAATTGGCAAAAGCACTTCAGAGGTATGCGCTCTTATCGCTACTTTGGAAACAAAGGAGAAACCATTCCAGATGACGTGGAAGATTTGATTGTTGTTCATCCTCACGTTCAAGAGATTCCAAAACGAGCTTGTTACATGTTCGAAGGGTTGACCAGCGTCACCTTCAGTGGATCCGCTTTAAGGACAATTGGAGAGCGTGTCTTTTTCAATTGCTTTAGCTTGTTGGAAATCGAAATTCCTTCGTCCGTGACTTCGATTGGAGATCATGCCTTTTGGGGGTGCCGGTCGATGACAAAAGTTCGATTTATTCAGGAGGGTGGTTCATCATTAAAAACTATTGGAATTGAGGCATTTTGCTATTGCTCGTCATTAACAGAAGTCAACATTCCCTCTAGTGTGGAAACCATTCAATCGGGGGCGTTTAAATATTGTAAATGCTTGGCAAGAGTGTTCTTCCAGGAGGGACTGAAAACAATTGAGAGTGGTGTTTTTATCGATTGTATCGAATTGGAAAAAGTGGATTTGCCGAAGACTCTTGAAATCTTGGGCAATGGTGCCTTTAAAAAATGCAGTTCGTTGCAGGTAGTGAATATGGAGGAAGGAGGAAACTTGAGAGTGATTGGAAGAAATGCCTTTGAAAATTGTGTCAAATTGCAAACAATCAACATGCCTTCCACTGTCGAGCGCCTTGAATCACAAACGTTCAAGGAATGCGATTCTTTGTTGGTAGTAAAGTTCCAGAATGGTCTCAAATATGTAGGAAACTATGCCTTTTACTGGTGCAAGAATTTGCGATCAGTTGCGCTACCAGAATCGGTAGAAGTGATTAGCAGCTGGGCTTTTGGACTATGTCCCAAGTTGCTGTCAGTGGAATTGGGAGATGGCCCTAGAGATCTGGGAATACACGACGGTGCCTTTTCCGGTTGCGCGTCTTTAATAAATATCTGCCTTCCTTCTGAACCACGAATAGGCCAAACAAATCCTGACGATGTCGGTCCCGGCGTTGTCGTCGTCAACAGCTTCAATGGCTGCATGACGCTGCGAAAACAATATGGCAATACGCCCATCCCACTTGCCCTGATGCGTCGATTCGACAACTTTCCAATACACAAGAAATGTTACCACGCCTCTGTTACAACAACAGATGAGCTTTCTAGGGAAATTGAGTCGTCCATGCCATCCTTCTTGCAAGACGAGAATACTATCCCTGACCACTTGGTCGATCCTTTTGGTATGACACCATTTCACATTCTAATGTCGGCTGCAAACTGCAGACTTGATCTTTTGCAACTCCTGCTAGACGCGTATCCACCGAATATACTTGGATGGAAAGACATGAACGGAAAGACTGCCATTGAATATTACTGGCAACAGAGCTATCGCTTGACTGAAAATTCTCAACGTATCCTTCAAGCAGCTCTTCACCGCTGGTTGGTCGGTTCGATCTCGAGTTGGAAAGGGCTGGAAGCGTGGAAATCTGACATGACGAATAGAGTGAATGCTATTGTTTCCGAGGATGAAGTGGAACAAAGACAATCTTTGCTTCAAGACTCATTGATGGCTTTGTCACACTACGAGCACTTAGAAGCGACATCGTTGCTCGAATTATCTTTGTGGAAAATGGAGATGAGATCGGCTGATGATACGTCAACAGATGATGACACAGCAGCGAGGATCATAGTGGACAAGAAGGCCGATCGAGAAGCATACCGGATTGGAAATGGTGCTCCAGTTGTCATTCCGAATGTGATTGAATTCTCTTCTAGAACGGATCTAGCATTATCGTCAGGCTAGAGTAGCTGGAACCGATCACTACTCAATCAATGAGTCGCCGCATCGATGAGATCTACCTACAGTACTCCAGCGATGATTCATTTCTATGAGGTACTTTCCTAGTCTTATTTCATCGTTGTTGATATTTTCAAAAAATTAGAATTTAAAATAGCATCGACCGCGGCATCATCCATCGACTGTGATTCGATCTTCAACCTTAATTTCGGAGGACGCCTTTGATACCAACTCAACGGTCTACATACAACCTCAATACGGTATAGCAGAATGTCCCAAGAAACGAAGAGAAAGCGAAAACGAGACAACAATGCATCCGTTTTGAAAGTCATTTTTTTGGACATTGATGGAGTGTTGTTGCCCTTTCCCCAGAAGGGACCTCCCAAGGGAACACTGTTTCCGACCAATACCATAAAAGCGCTGGATCGCTTATTGAAGGCTACGCAGGCAAGTCTAGTCTTGAGTTCCACTTGGAGAGCACTGGATCGATTCGTCCAAGACATTTTGGATGACTTTCAGAAACATGGACTTGGAGTCACAGCATTCCATGACATGACTGATAAACACTACCATGCGGAACGGCAGTGGGAAATTCACCGATGGCTATCACAAAATGAAGGCGTCAATAAATTGTACTGGTTGGTCTTGGACGATGAAGAACTGATTAAAGGAGAAGAAAATGAAAAGTTGGCTTCTACATTCCAGGGACATGTCGTCAAGCCGATAAGTTCCGTTGGATTGACCGAAGAAGATGTCGATCGCGGGATTCAATTATGGCAAGAGCAGCTTGCGTCGAAATGATGTTTCAAATCTATTTGCTATTATAATCGCAGTTTGCTCTAGCTAAACTTTTCAGAGACGTACTTCTGAAAGCTCTCGTAGTCCAAGTCCAGTTGCTCTACCATGGATTCCGCTGCTTCAATGAGGCTTGTCGTCCATGTTGCAAGCTTGTTGTCTTTTACGTTCCGGTCATCATCATAGAAAATGGAGTAAATGACTGTCTTGAAATCCCCGGGTACCTTGGCCACGGATCCCCGCACGTGACCAGCCGCCATGACTTGGGCACATTGGACCAGGATCTCTCCAAAGGTGGCAGTGTTCAGCTTCTTTTCCAAAAACTTTGGCTTCTTCTTGAAAGCAGACCGGCGGCGGACCGAATAGGGGCTTACGTTGCCCTTGGAGTCGCTCAAATACACCCAACCTAAAAACGGATCAGAGAAGGAAGTCATTTGACGTTCGGCAGTGATCACTCGCACGGCCTCATTGGTAAACATGGCCTCATACCAGGCCAAATCAGCCTCTTCTAACACGAAACGAATGGAGGGTGTCGTTTGCTGCTTGACATCCAAAATAATGAATTCGTCCGAGTCGGAATCTTGCACCAAGACGTAGTACCGATCAACGCCATAGGACGCGGTTCCCGAAATTCGTAGCGCAACATCCACAACAGTGTAGAAATGATCATCTTCGACCCATGTTGGTTGCTTCCAGCCCACATGCGCCATCGTCGATCCATAATTCAGTGCATCAAAGATCTCTCGAATGTCCCGGTACCGTGATTCGGAAACAGGGGCAAGTTTGGTATCATCATCAGGTTCTTCGACGGTACCCTTGAGGAATTGAATCCCATACATTTCTTTCCTTGTGCTGATGTCAGTAAACCGTTCAATCTGCTTTTCGACACTGGCTTTGGATTTGACATCCTTGATGAGATCTTGCACTTTCCCCATGGTTTGCCGATCGTCTGTCTTGTACGCCAGAATCAAGTTGGGATCCCCGTAAAACTTCAAGATAATGTCAATATACGCCTTGGAAAACTGGGGAAGCAAGCTGGTTTTGATTTCGTCATCCGAGATTCCATACTCCATCCTTGCTTTCACCCATGCCGATACCATCAATCGAAGAACATCCACTTGAAAGTCATAGATGGCGCCTTCATCAAAATCATTCATGCCAAACACAACGTCGCCTTGATGATTCTGATAAATACCAAAGTTTTCCAAATGCTGATCTCCACTGACCCAAGTCCAGGTGGACCGAGATGTAATCGTCACATTGTCCAGCAAGTGGGCATCCTTTTTGACATTTTCTAAGAGTCGATAGGCCAAATTTTCTCGCACAAAGTCTCTGAGATACAAGTGATTAGACGATCGGAAGAAACTCCAGACGTCTTCGCCTTGTACTGCGTATCGTTCCGTTCGGGCTTCTGTTGACATCCAGTAATCGCGCTTGTCAAACTGCATCGCCACCCAGTCGTCACGTTCGCCACCTTCGTCAATTCCGACGAGGGGGTGTCCAGTCGGAGCAGAGGTGGGGCCAGATGTGGGTCCACTTGTAGGACCAGAAGTAGGATCACCAGTTGGGCCATGTGTAGGCATTGATGTAGGCATAGAAGTGGGAGCAGAAGTGGGAGCAGAAGTGGGAGCAGATGTTGGAGGAGCCGTCCCCTCCGCTGATACTGCACCAGTCGCCTCTGCGTTTTCGTCCACAGTATCTTCATCCAATTTGCGCTGTCTAAGTTGTCGTTGCCGCCTTGCAATGTGTTCTTGAAAGCAACTATGATCCGCCAAGTACTGCCCGTACATTTCTTCGGTTACAGTGGAAAGCATTTGGCTCCAGTCGTTGTATATACCAGATTTTTCATTAAAATACGTCCCCACGACAGTATGGAAGTGTGCAGGAGCCTTGGCAATGGACCCACGGACATGGTTTGCCGCAATAAGCTTTGCCAAATCTCCCAAGGATCTTGCAAAGTTTTTACTGTCGGCAACAGTCAAGACGTTCGCTGATGATTTCCAGGGGGAATGCCGCCGGACAGAAAATGGCTTTGTGCCGCCAAGACCGTCATCCAAGAGGACCCATCCCAGATAGGGATCCGTGTAGGTCGTAGTTTCTCGTTCTCCTCGAACGACCCGGTCTCCAGAATGCCGGAACAAGTTTCCATACCATGCCTCCTCTTCTTTGGACAACAGGTTTTGCGTCTTCCAAATCGGTGGGGTAGGAGGTTGTTCGATTAGATCCAAAATGACTGGCTCGCCGTCTTCACTGTAGGTATCCAAAAACACGTAATACCGTTCCAACCCAATGTATTTGACGTCCTGCTCGACGTAACGAGCAGCGATGTCCATGACGCGAACGTCGGTTTCATTCCATGGCTTGATCTTCCATCCCAGTTTCATCATGCTGGCTCCATAATGCTCTTCGGAGAAGACGTTTTCAATTTCTTCCTTTCTGGCTTTCGAAACTTCCGCCAACAAGGTGGATTTGTGATAATCAATGGTCGAATGGTCGACTCCATCGATACTGGTGTCACCCTTGCCTCCAGATCCCTTTAGAAATTGACGTTCTTCTCCCACCAATTTGGTAAACTCGTCCAAGTGACTTCCCAAGTTCTTTTTCTCAAAAATGTCGTTGAGATAATCCCTGAGACCATCCGATGATGTGTCATTGACCAAATGAAAACCAGTCGCCGCATCTGGATTCGCGCTGTACTCCCGTACTGCCTTGACATAAGACGACAAAAAACTGTTTGTCACTGTCTTGAGAGCATTTCGTTCGTCCATGCTTTGTTTGGTCAAGGCCACATGATAGGCGGTCAAACACATGCGCAGGACATCAATCTGGAAGTCAAAGATGGCCGTCTCCTCGTAGCGTGCTGGTCCGAAGACGATATTTCCACGACGATTGTCGCCCGATTCAAAGTTGGTAAAGTGCTGATCTCCGTTGACCCACGTCCACAAGAGTTTGGAATTTTCCTGACCCCCCAGATATAAATCTCCAATGCGTAGTCGTTGTTCTGCCACCATGTCCAAAGTGCGTTCAGTGATATTGTAGGTATGTACAAAATCGTACCAAAACAAGTGAATGTTGGATTCCAAAAAGCTATCAATGGATCGGGCCTGAATGTTGTGTCGAGCATTCCGAGTGTGGTCGCTCATCCATTCGTCCCGATGATTGAAGATATCAATGACCAAGTCACAGCGCCTTTCTTCCGGATCAAAGGTAGGTTCTTGACTAGGAATGATGCTTGGCACCATACTCGGCACCATGCTGGGCTCCGTACTCGGCATGATGCTGGGTCCCGTACTAGGTTCCATACTTTCATCTTCTCCAAATTCTCCAAACTCTTCTTCGGCTTGTTCTAATTCTTCTATCAATTCATCATCTTCTGCACCTTCCATTTCTTCTACCACTTCTACCAGCAACCGCCGATTCTCTTGACGAAGTGTCCGCAAGGAAGGATTGTGGTTGCTGCGAGTCGTGGCATCAGCTTCCAATGGTGGATTATGCTTCATTGTTGTTCTTGTCTCAGAAGCACTGCCGCTGCGAAGGCACAACAAAATGGCGGACAATCCAACCATCAGTATGGCAGTTGAAACAATTAGCCTTCGGTGAACCATCTTTTGTTTATTTTCCTCAAGCGGATTACCGTTCTTTTGATCTTTGCTAGTATTGTTCACCACAGATGATCCAAAGGTCATTGCTGAGAATTATTGTGCGGGAAAATGAGAAATAAAGGTGTCCATCTGTGCACTTTTGGTACAGTAGTCGATTGGGTCGTACATACGTGTTGGAAATGACTACCGGTACAAAACTTTCTTAAATATTTTTATATGGAACTATGACCATCTCAATGGGAGGGACGAAGGATGGACACCCTCCCTTCGAATTCGATCTGACGTCATTCCAAACAAAGCGCGACGATCAAAAATTGCTGACCGTCATCACCGGTCTAAAATACAGTGTATGTTGTGTCAGAGAAAAAATACAATAAAACAAGATCACAGGTGATTTCGCCTCTATACACTTGTCATCCATCACCTTCAAGAGGATCAATCAATAAGCCATCCTTCAAGGAAGATAAAGGTGCAAGAGAATAATCCAAGCAATTGGAATTGAATACACAACTACAGCATATATAGTAGCATCATGTTTCATAGCTCCTCTATCGAACGAGAAACCAACGGAGATTCAGCTGGTGGAAGCACCGAATCATCTGCAAGCATGGCATCATCCTTTCCACAGCATGTCACAGTGATCCAGTCTTGTAATCCATCCAATGATCAAGCGCTTTTCGAAACTTTTTTCGGATTCAAAGTGGAACAACAACAACAACAACAACAACAAGGCGATTGTCAACCACAACAAAACGCTGCTGCACCTGAAACCATCATTCTGACTCGAAATCATCAGTGCGTGGTACTGCTCCCAGTGTCGCCCAAATCACCGCCTTCTCCATCTTCTTCTTCTGCTGTAAAACAGAATGCTATGTCAATTCTTATATTCGATGAATCGACCATGACAAATGCAAGAACAGGAGATGCTGCTGCCATGGAAGGACTTCCAAAAGTGGAATGGAACACCATACCCGTCAAATCCAAAACCAACGACGAAATAATTGCTGTTCCGACAGCCACTATCATCCTTTCTACGGGTCACATACTCATAGCAACCACTCTTCTGGGATGGAAGACACCTTCTGCACGGGCCAAAGTGGTACAATTTGCGGCGACACAACAACGGTTGGCCACTCCCACCCTCACAAGACGGCCAAGTTTTGGTTCCAAACTCTTTTCGTCCGTCAGCAAGCGAAAAGTAGCATTGCAACGGCAATCCTCTCTATCCAGTTCACCCCCTTCCGTTTCAGATGATATCAGCGAACAACAACAGCAAACACCACCCAACAACAAGTCCACCAGCGAGAAATCATCACGATCGTTCTCGCCCACCAACAGCAGTCGTACTAGCAGTACTAACGGCGGCGGCATCAGGAACATGAACGCCAAATTGTTTCCATCCTTGGACATTCGCGCCTTGACACCTGGTGGAGAATTCGGTCCCTTTGCCGCCAATTCGCAAGTCGAGGTTCCAATCGAATCCGACCTGTTTGTGGGATCCATGATTTTGCTCATTCGTCCCAACGATCCCACCCAAGATCCCTATTGGAACGAACGTATCTTTTCCAAAAAGAAGCGACGGGTCATTTTGTTCTTGCAAGGAAAGCTCAAGTATACTCCGGAAGGTCCCTTGTACTCAGGCTTGGAAATTAATCAACCCATGAAGTTGGGACTGATGGCATCCGGGCTGTGCAACCTCATTCTGACGTTCATTCAAAAGTTTGATCCCTCGTTGCATTATTCCTTCGGGGACAAGGAAGAAAGCGCGCACATGACGAGTACGGTAGAATGCTTCTTTGATCAGATTGTGGTGACGCATCCCGGTGAAACACCACCCAAGGTATGTTGTCGTTGACATGTCATGATTGATTTCTTATATTTCTTGTTTTTTTAAAAAATCAACCTTTTACTCACTCTGTCATTTGCTAACTTTCTTGGTTCGCGTCTACTAGTTGGGAGAAGATTTGAACGAACCCGCGGAATCGGTCAAAGCCCGCAAGGCCTCCAAGCAAAAAATCCAATGGAATAATCAAGATACTTACTCTTTGGCATTCCATACCATGTATGTCGATTTCCCATCTTGGACAACTTCCAATGTTCCGTTGGTCCGAGACATGAAGTTGCAAACCTTTTGGGGCAATTCCTTGTTGAATATTGTCTTGTACGAAATGGATCATGGACAGAAACGACATATCCGCAAGGACATCAAGTATATCATGTCGATTCAATTGAAATATTTGAAACCTCATGAGCGACAGAATAATACCGAAGAAGAATATTCCATTGGACTGAATAGTTCCGAGGAAGAGTCATCGGAAATGCGTGGTGATTCGAGCTGGGGAGCGCTGACGGTCGACGATGAAGTGGATTTTTCCTTCCGGGAAGATCCGACAGAATCGGCAGAAGTCGATGAAAGTGAAGAATTCTTTGACACGGTGCAGATTGATTCCAACGAAGGAGCTTCCTTGCCGAATACGCCACCCACAATTGGTGCCTCCTTTTCGCCTGCCTTTGTATTGAGCGCCGTTGATGAATACTGCCCATTCATGATTGAAATGCATTCCCAAAAGAAGAGCTACGAAACAGTCTATGTCTTCCGAGGGCGGTACTCTCATTCTCGCCCAATCTTCCGAGATGTACGAACGGCGAGGGAAGCTTTGGTGGACTGCCGACCATCCATCAATGAGGAATGGTTCTCGCCAAGACTGACGGATATTGAGCGAACCCGTCGCATCATTGCTCTCATGTACATGAAGGGATTGACAGACAAGGACGTGGAAATTCAACAGCGCACCTTTGCCTTTCAAACCAAGAAGAGCACCTATGATCGCAAATTTTTGAAAGGATTCGATTCTAAAAAGAAGAACAAGAAGCAGGTCAAGCCATACTTTGCTGTAGCACGTGCTTTGAGTGATCACCACTGGGTCGAAGAAATGGCTCTTCTGTCGGATCGTGACATTCAATTCTACCGCGTAGACAAGAAGAAACCCGGCTTTTCTATTGGACTATCAAGTATTATCAAAGTCAAGGACGTGGATAGCACCAGTATGCTTCAGGGGTATTATCACATTTTGGCGATTGAAACCTTTGGTCGCACCACCTATCTCATGTTCCCGTCCAAAGAAGAACGCTTCCGATGGAGCCATGATATTCAAGAAAAGGCCAAGGCCAAGAATGGGCTCTTGGTTAGTGAATCCTTGACGAACCATTTGATCAATGTGGACGACCCCGCCCGAGAGTTCCTCCACAGGAGTACCATGTTTGATTGCAGCAAGCGCAAGATTTTGAATTGTCGACGTTTCAGTTTCCAAGCCCCCAAACCCACCTCAAGTGAAGACACCTTGTTGCTCGCCGAGCAAGCACTCATCAAGGCAACCGGTTTGCAATCGTCCGGTTCTGACACTGCCTTGACCGACTTTTTGGATTGTGCTGCCGCCCTCAAGGACGCCAATGCCCGAGATCTGAATGACGACGAACGAATGGCGTTCTTCTTGAATGTCTATCATGTGGTGATTATGCATGCCTTTATCGTTTTGGGCCCTCCCAAGAATGGTTTGGAATGGTTGACCTACTTTAACAACTTTGCCTACCAATGTTCGGACGACATTTTTTCCTTGACGGAACTGGAACACAACATTATTCGTGCCAAGATGAATTTTCCATCTCAATTCTTTTCACGATTTGTCATGCCCAAGAGTCAATTCGGGTTTGCATTGGCAGTTCCGGATGTTCGAATCAACTTTGCCTTGAACAGTGGATCGTTGAGCATGCCTACCGCTGCGGTTCCAATCTATCAAGCAGAAACCATTAACGAGCAATTGGATAGTACTGTCCTAAAGTTTGCTCGGCGATCTGTCTTTTTCAACTATGGTAAGAAGAAAGACGTGACCGTCACACTTCCAAAGATCTGCCAGTGGTTTGCAAGTGACTTTGGGGACGGCTCGACCAGTGATATTCTGAAAATGTTACAACCGTACCTTGATCAAGAGAAACAAGCTACCTTGGAAAGGCTTTGGAGCGCCAAGAAGCAAGCCTTTGACGTCAAGAATGTCAAGTTTCTTCCATTCATGTTTGAATGTCGGTTCCTAACGCTCGAAGAACAGTCCAATTTTACCATTGAATAAATAATTGAATATTTCTGTTACAAGTGCTTCTTTTCTATTTACTTTACAGAATTGGTAAGTGTTATGGGTACAGGTATTAGTAGCATTAGGAGATCCGGCGCCGAACATTTCGTTGAGGTTGGTCGCGATGATCGTATTGTAGATTTCGGGACTTGGGTTTACGAAGTGCGAATGGAAAGTCAGGTGGCTGGAACGACACCTTGGGGAGCTTGACTTGCTTTGTTGGATAGGCTGCAAAGTAGTCATGGCAAGCTTGGACAAAGGCGATTTCTACATTCCAAGTCCCACAGACGCGAGCAATCTTGGCCACGTCTTCAATGTTCATGTTCTTTCTGTAGGCACTTAGCGTGCATTGAATCGTTTTGTGGCGATACAATCGGCGTTCCAAGGTGGAACTTTCAAGTCCTCTCAATGAAGAATCTTTCAGGACTTCCTCGGGAGAACGTATCGCTTTCACCAGCTGTCGAGTGTCCGCTTTGAATTTGCTTATTTCAGATTTTCGATACCAGAGCTGATCTGGGCAATGGGGCTGTAATGTGGAATCATCCGCAGGTGACACAATGGATGGTGAAGAAGCAAACTGAACTTTCCGTCTTTTGCAGTGCATATCGTTCTGTTTGTGTTGGTCGACGTCTAGTATTTGAAGGATCGTGATGCAATCCTCAGGAGAGGGATGAATTGGGCAATGGGAATCTATCATCGGCAAGACGCTGCACATTTCTTAGCAAGATTAAAATATGAGAGAGATATGGAAGAAGAACGAATGAATCAATCGTTGAATCGTGATCTTCTTTCGCTTTTATGGTATCAGCGGGTTTGCTGAACCAAAGTGGATAGTGGTCGTGAATGGTTCACCCTTTGGGGAAATCAACAGAGCGAAAATGTGAAAGGCAAACGGAGGAAGCAAACCCATCTAAGACAAGTGAGACACAGACGAGACATGCGCCCGCCAATGCTGGTATTAACAACCGTGACTCGGGTTTATTGACACTCGTCTTGATGCAACGGATTGATATCTAAAATTATACTCGTTACTTATAAAATGCGGACCAACCGTATCGTGGTTTTAAAAATTTAGTGAACATCCAAGAGGTAATGGTCCGAGTAATCAATCGGGTAATTTTCAATCTTGCCAAAGGAGTAGTAGGTACACCGGTACCGCAAAGGGTGGAAGGACGGTGAGCCCAAGGTATGTTACGAATATTGTGCTAGTGCCTGGAATAATTAGATAGTAATGTGATTGCTTGTTTCATCACTGGTCCAGGTCCGTCATGGCATGGGGGTACACGTAATACTACCAACTGTGAAGAAAGCAAGAAGAAAAAGTAGTTTCATCATCCGATGCCCATCGTCATGCTGGTAAGTGACTTTGGTGTGCAGACACCATCTGAGCTTGTTCTTTCCATAAAAAGGTTCGTTTCGCCCTCCTCGTGATGCACCCGCTAGTAGCTTGTTGCCTTCTGTGACGTCTCATTCTCGTATGATCCTTTTGTCTTCTTTCATGGCCGTGTCGTGATCTTCACGCCATTCCCGCAGCCATTCCTGTATCATGATATAGCATTGTTCGGGTGGTCGCTCGGTCCCCATGCTCTGACAGTAGTATGCGGTCAAAGTTTCTACACGATTGTTCGGACGAAATCATGCCAAAAAAGTATCTTGACAACAGTCGAATTTAGTCGAACGTCTCTAAATGATGACGTCAAATACACATATCCATCACTGTGGATATGGAAACCAAACCCGTCACAAAATTTGGTGGGTAGCACGGCAGTTTCAGGCCTTGAGCAGAAAACGAATAACGTTGGTTCATATATCAAGTTTGCAAACTGTTCCAACCGACTTGGCATACATTATTCCAACAACCATGACATCGCCTAATAGAACACAAAACAAGATGCTACTCCCTGCTGTTGTCGAGATGGAGGAGCCTCTCCTTGACACTCGAAAGGCTACCAACGAGGATGAGAACAGCGAGAACAAGAAAGTTCGTTTACACGGGGCTGTGATCGGTTTTCTCACCCAGCTCATCAACATTTCCGGAACTGCCGTTATCACCTACCGATGGGGTCCGAATGCAGATCTCTTTGCCGAACATGCTAGTATTTTGGACCATGCGATGCATCTTTTCGTATCGATGGCGTCACAAGTCGACTTGTTTCTCTACTTGGTGATGTGGTTGGGATTGACTGCTGCCTTGACAGACAGGGGAATTGAAATGTGGCAACAATTTCTAGGAGGACCTCATTCGGCTCGATCTATCTTTGTCATGGGGGTACAATTTTATGCTGGAGTCGTGATTGGGTCTTTCTTGTCTTGGTTTTCTTTGGACTTTGCGTTGGGTCTACCAGCACCAGTTTACCCAATGGTATCTGTTCTATTCTTTGGGCTGGTGATTTCGTACTCCATGGTCTGGTGTTTTGATATGGAAGATAATCCAGATGAACGAGAAGACGCTTGTGTTTAGAATTCAGCGTAAACACCATTCCCTCGATTCAACTATAGACGAAACAAACACAACAATGGTAGTTACTGTATAGATTATAGATCAATTGAATTGTTAATCAACTTTGTATTCGCATGATAAATGACCTCGCTTTGAAATCAAACCTACTTGACGCTTCAAATGCCTTCTTAACACATTAAATGAAACTTATGTTACGTTTATTCTCTTGACTTGTTCTAGCACATCACATGTACAACGTTTCTATATTCTTGTTTGGTTCTCACATTTGTATCGAATGAACAAAGGGACTAGGGTTCGGAATTGTATTCGAACTAACAGATCTATGTCACAAGCATCAGCGCCAACGATAGTATCGTCATGATAGCTTGTGTCTGATGGAGAGTTGGCGCAGCCGAAGCTTCCAATGCACTCGATAGAGTAGTATAGCTTCCACTCTTCTTACTGCCCTTGCTGCTGCCTTTGCCACCCTTCCCTTTGCCGCCCTTTCCACTACTGCTACTACTTTTCTTGCTACTCGAGCTACTCGATCCACTTTTGCCGCCCTTTCCTTTGCCGCCCTTTCCTCCTTTGCCATGATCAACGTAGTCGTAACCATTCCAGGTGTTGCCTTTTCCTCCTTTCCCTCCTACAGGGCCTCCTCCTTTACCACCACCCTTTCCATAGTATCCAACCGGTTCGAAGACCCGTGGTGTTGGCGGTACTGGATGTGGCGTTGGATGTGGCGTAGGATTACGAGTCGGTGGACGAGGAGTTGGGTGAGGAGTTGGGTTCCGTGTGGGTCGCCTGGTAGGACTTTTTGTGGACAGTGGTCCCACACGACCTACTGGTTGCGGTGTGGGTTGCGGTGTGGGGTTTCGAGTCGGATTTGGTGTTGGCCTCCTTGTTGGAGACTTGGTCGAGAACGCAGTGACCACACTTGGTGTTGGGTTTGGTGTGGGTCGCTTGGTAGGAGCTTTGGTGGATAAGGCACCAGATCGATCAACTGTGGGGGTTGGATTTGGAGTTGGTGCTCCAGTTGGAAAGACTTGAGCGAAGCCATTGTCGACGATCTGTACCCAGTCTACTTGCATGTTCGCTGGGAGGGGGGCCGAGACATCAATTCGTGGCTGCCCACAGCCACCCGAGGAGCTGGAGGAGCTGGCAGAGGAAGCCGATGATGAACATGCGGCTGAAGAACTCGATGATGAAGACGCAGAAGATGATCCTGCACCACCGGTTGAAGTGAACAAGCCTCCAACGGCAAGATTCAACAAGACAAAGTGAGGTTGGTGAAACTCTTCGCAATCGACACAGTTGGCTGAATCTATGTCCATTTCCCAAACTCGAACACCATCAACATAGGTAGACAAGGTTGTGGGCGTCCAATCGAGGCGATAAATGTGAAAGTCTTCATTCAAATTGACATTAAAAGTCTTCCACAAAGCATAGGCTGCAAGCTTCTCTTCAAACTCCCAATGGGCACCCGATATAACCCTTCGATTGACCACTCCTTCTGTTATGGCTAGACCTTGGCCAATTTCCATAATATCAATTTCTCCTGATCTCGGCCAACCAACTTGTTCAAAGTTCGATCCTAGCGTCCAAAAGGCAGGCCACAAACCATCAGCGACATCTGGTGTCTTGATCCGAGCTTCCAAAGTACCATATTGGAACGTCATCTTTCCATCAGTCTTGATTCGCCCCGATGTGAATCCAGTGCTGATTCGTTCGGCTCGGATGTTCAGGAGACCCCCACTGACGGAAACAGCTCCAGTAGTATATGTTTGGAGTTCTTGGTTTCCCCAGCCTCCTCCACCAAGATCGTAGGACCAATAGTTGACGTTGGGTGAGTTTCCCCAATCAAAGTCATCTCGCCATAAAACTTGGCCAATCTCAGCGAGCGTTGATGGCAGAATGAAGCAGAGGTGCAACACATAGAAGTGCAGTGATCGATGATTCATATTGTATTGTCTATCTTGTGTTCTATTTGTGATTCTAATTGAAAAATGAGATGACTCGTGGACCGTTACTGTTATGAATTCTTGTGGGTTTGGTTTTTCGGTCTTTCCATCATCAAATGAAAGCGGCGATTGTGTGTGTTTTTGTAGGTTTTGTGTGTGGGATTGTTTGCGTGGGATTTGACTGAAATTTTCAGCAAGAAATAATTAGGGTGGAAAGTTCTTTTTATGTGGTAGTACGTCGCTACGACAAAGTGGCTGATGATACACATGGTATTTACAAGTCTTACTTCTATTTGAATCCTGCGCTGGCCGACTCCGCTTCACTCGTGGCGGCTTTGCATGGTCTGATCGGCGGATCCAGAAAATACAAAAAAGTGTGATGAATATATACTGCGTTTCAAAATAAGTCTTGCCCGTCCATTCTATAGAAGAAACTAATCAACATAGTATACTCCTACTCGTACTAAGCGGCCGCTAACTATGCTACCATGATTTAAGCTTTTCAACCTTAGCATCTGCACCCCACTCCTTGTAGTATTGAATTGCTTCTCCAATCCGAAACGTAGCCTCATCCTCATCTCCAAGATCGTGCCTACAAAAGTCAGCAAACCGCTCATTCGCCAACGCTGCATATTGGATATGGCCTGTTCGAGCGGATAATACAATCGCCTCATGGTAAAGTTTCTTCGCTTCTTGATGCTTGCCATCCATTGCTGCTTGTTCGGCACGGAGCAATGGATAGAAGTGACACACGTTGGGATTCCCCGCTTTCAACCAACCCCCAATCTTGGCTGAAACTCGCTTGGCAGGTCGCAGATACTTCCTCTTTCTAGTCCTTCGAGCCATTGCATACAACGCTACGCCGCGAAGAAAGTTTATCGTCATCACCTGCGGATTGTTTGCATAAGTCTTGTCGTATGTATCTCCGATGTCCAGGGCGACGTTTGCGCCAGATTCATAATCACCCAGGAAAACATATACGTTGATATCTGCATACTGCTGATCGATTTTTTCCACCGACAATCTCTCCGGGTCAATGCCATGACCGTTCAGTGTCGTTGCTTCATCAGAATCGCCCACGAGGATAAGTATCATTTGCCAATTGAGCCTCACAATGATCTCTTGAAATACTAGCTTCAGTTGTTCACACTGAGTCGCAATTGCGTAGCACTTTGACAAAATAGACCGCAATGGTCGCCCCACCTGATATGAGAGTAAGACATGCGCTGTCACGTGACACCAAAGCCCCATCTCAGAATTTCCCGCTCGCATTCCAGAGGTATATCCTTCTAGTAGCCGCCTGCGACAATTTTGCAACGGATGCTTAATCCACGGATAGACTGATTGATTTGCTAGAAAGATGGCAGCAGATGTGGCCCTCTCGCTTTTGGACTTTGCTTGGAGCATGAAACCGAGTTCGGTAAACTGCGCTCCAGCCTCGTTGTCCTTTGTCACCGCCATTGCAAGCACAGCAAGAGTTATAAACGGAAAGCCGCCGAGTGACCCAACGCCATGATCCAGTGTCATCTCGACGTGTTTGATGGTGCACAAGATTTGAATGAACACATCTTTTGCAAAGTAGGCCGAATAATTGATCCGGGCAATCAATTCCATTATTACATGATGGGTCGGATCCGTCATTTCGCCAAGATTTTCAAAAAAATCCTTCTTCTTGCTCTTTACTACCTTGATTGTTTTGAACAAGGCTCGAAGTGCAATTGCTGGGCGAAACACTTTGTTCCCACCAAACCAAACCCCAAACTCATTTCTTAATATCTTTATCCCGAGTTTAATTGATGCAGGGCCATCTAAACTCACCGATAGCAGCTCGTAACATTGTGCCAAGTAGACTGGGGATTTCTCTAGCGCGCTGCACGTCGGCTGTGCAAGTAGTTCTTTGCTATACTTTTCCATCATGCCAATCCGGCCTACTGCCAATTCCATTTGAACACCAGCAACGACAAGCCGCAACGTCAGATCCTTATGACTGGTCCATTTATCGTTGGGAAGCAGTCCGATACCCTTCGCAACATACTCTGATGCACTGTTGAAGGCACTTATTTGCTTTGCTTTCTCAGCGGCGCGTAAGTTAAGCTCAGCAAATTCAATTCTGCGTTCGACGCCAGCTGCGTTGATCAGATCCGTGACCTCGAAGAGCAGATCCTCCAACTCATCGCTACTCATTTCATGATACAGAGTACACCCGATTTCAAATTGAAAAGCTGGTTCTGCTGCATCGCCTGTCAACATTGCGGTCTCCTTGAGCTTGATGTGGATCCACCTGTATGAATCATCGCCAATGCGCTCAAAGAAATTTCCCCTCTCTAATCGAAGCAATATGTTTGAGAGTTCGTCCTCTTGATTCCCCAGTTTGGCCCAAAGATAGTTCAGAGTCTTCAAATTGACTGTTTGTCCGAGGCATGCGGCAAATTGCAGCACGAGCTGCGCTGATTTGGGAATCTTCTTCATTCTTGATCGTACCAAGTCAACTACATTCGCTGTAGACATTGTTTCTCGTTCCACTTCCTTCTCATCCCAGGACCACTCGAAGAGTCCTAAGTTGAACGACAGCAGACCTTCTTCTTCCAACATGGATATGAACTCGATCAAGAACAAAGGATTGCCCAGAGATCTCTTGAAGCATACCTCGGCCAAGCCTCGCGTCCTGTTTGCTTTGTCGATTGAGAGCACTGCCATTATGACCTTGTTTACTCCATCTATATCCAGATTGGCCAGAGATATATTGGAAATCTGGAACTTGAATTTCTGTTTCTTTGATTCCAACTCCTTTTGTTTGGTATTCAAGATGTGCGATTCGTCGACTTCGTTTGATCGATAGCATCCAATAATCATTAAAGGGTTTTCGTTTCCGGTATCTGTCATCAAAAAGTCGATTACATTGAGCGAAGATCCGTCTGCCCATTGCAGGTCATCAAGTACAATGATTAAGGGGCTGTACAGAGAGCTTAGTTCACGTGTCATCACTCTGAAGGCATACTCCCATTTGGTTTTCACAGCATCCAAATCGAACGAATCATTCATTATTTGTCTTTGGTTCAACTGAACATCGTCAGGGAGAATCATGTCGAGTTGTGGGATCAGTTTTGTCAGCACTTGGATGTCGTCCCCGCCGATTTCTTCAACAAGCTTGCGACCGATAGTCGATAGTGGGTCTCCAAGCATCTTGTTGGACATCAACCGCTGATGATGAATTCCCTCGCAGATTTTCCCGAAAGCAGCTGCAATCGCTGAATATGGGACGCTTGTACTATTGACGTCAAATTTCCCTTCAGCAATCATAGAATTGATATTCATTGCAGAAACTTCTGCCTGCATTGCACCCACCAACTCTGTCTTACCAGAGCCACTGGAACCCTCAATGAAAACGAGCTCCTTGTTGCCTTTACTGCCCTTGTTGGCGTCAATGCTCGTCATTCGATTCAGAGAAGATTTTAATACCTCCATCTCTTCCTCGCGATCGACGAGACCAACGGAATCGAAACGCAGTTTGTTGATGGTGAGTTCTTGCAACATTGCATTGGACCGCATGATATCGTCATCCAAATAAGGTACCCTGCGAGTGAAGGAGGACGATCGATCTAGTTTGTGCGAGATTACAGCTTCTGATGCGATTGTCCGTTTTGAGCCATTTGAGAAAGTGCTGGCAGTACCATCTTCGAAGGAAAGACTTCCATTATTCTTTTCTGGAACAGCTTGGGGTCTCGGCGATGATTGGATCCTTTTTAATGACTTTGCTGTCTCTAAATCAGCAGATTCATTGACAATACGTCCGGTTGCCTTGGCCATCATTTTCATCCGTCCGTCTTCACTGGAACTCACCCATGTGCCCTAATGCATTCAGCAACTTTAGAGTAGTACGTGTTTTGTGGAAACATCAAATCAATAAAAACGCGAATCAATCATTTCTTGCGGAGAAAAGTACCGTACGTAGCATTTGGACGCAGATACAAGCGCCTTTGTTCTCCCTGACGTGTAGCGAATTTCTTTTGTTGGCGGTTCTTTTCTAATCTCTCTAGAGACTTCTCCTTTTCAGGTGGCGGCTCTCCAAAAAAAAGCGTTGCGCCAGATACCTTTCGCAGTGCTATATTACAGCAGCGAGAGTGCTGTGTTTTATTTTGGATATGTTCTAGTCTGTTAGGTAGGACAGGTACAAAATGAATTGCCCTTCAGCAATTGTCACATAATAGGAAAGAGGATGTGCAAGGCGGGGACACTACTAGTGATTCACTTTTTCAATTACGAAGTTCCCACTGTTGCCTGGGTTCTGTTGTCTCTGCTGTCTCCATATATCCTTTGAAGCCGCTCAACCTTTGCGTGTGCGCCCCATTCTTTGTAGTATCGAATGGCTTCCTCGATCCGAAAACTAGCCTCATCCTCGTCTCCAAGTTCATTCCGACAAAAGTCAGCATACCTCTCATTCGCCAAAGCTGCATACTGAATGTGGCCTGTTCTTGCTGACAGCACTATCGCATCATGATAATGCCGCCTGGCATCTTCTTTCTTCTTGTCAATAGCTGCTTGCTCTGCACAAAGAAGAGGATAAAAGTGGCTCACATTGGGGTTCCCCGCCTTAAGCCATCCCCCAATCTTGTCTCGAAGTCGCTTCGCTTGGCGCAAGTACTTCCCCTTTCTAGTATGTCGAGCCATTGTATACATCGCTAATGCACGAAGGAAGTTTACCGGCATGACTTGTGGCATATTTGTGCGTGTCTTGTCGTATGAATCTCCAAGATCCAGAGCAACCCTCGCCGCAGCTTCGTATTCTCCCAAGAAGACGAACTCGTTGATTTCTTTGAACTGCTGATCGACCTTTGATTCTTGCCACTTTTCCACGTTGACACTATCGCCATTCAAAACTGCCACTTTCTCCGATGCCCCCATGAGATCAAGTATCAATTGCCAGTGTAATCTCACAGTGATTTCGTGGAGAGCCAGTTTCAATTCTTCGCATTGCGCCGCAAGAGCAGAGCACTTGGACAATATGGACTCCAATGGCTTTCCCGTTTGATAAGGAATGACGATATGATTCGAAAGATGACACCAAAGGCCCATCTCGCTATTTCCTGCTCTCATTCCAGAAGTGTATCCAACTTCCAGTTCCGGGCGAGCTAATTGGATGGGCCTCATCCATGGATAGATGAGTTGATTTGCGACGAAGATGGCCGCCGACGTGGCAGTCTCGCTCTTGCATTTCGCGTGTAGCATGAACCCGAGTTGTGTAAATTGCGCTGCGGCCTCATTGTCTTTCATTACTGCCATGGCAAGCAGGCCCAATGAGATGAAAGGAAATCCACCGAGTGCTCCAGTGCCATGTTCCATCGTTAGGTCGACAAGTTTGACGGTGCACAAGACTTGAATGAACACATCCTTTGCAAAGTATCCCGAATAACTGATCCTTGATATGATATCCATAATGACAAGTTGCGAAGGGTCTGTCATTTCTCCCAACTTCTCAAAAAATTCCTTGTCCTTGCGCTTGACAGCCTTGATTGTTTTCAGTAGACTTTTAATTGCTATCGCAGGGCGCAGTAACTTCGTCCCCCCAAATCTCATTCCAAACTCCCTCCGCAGAACCTTCAATCCGAGGTTGATGGAAGCGGAAGAGTTTAGGCTCACAGATGCAAGTTCGTAGCATTGTGCAAGGTATACTGGAGCTTTCTCAACAGGCGTACAGGACGTCTGTGATAGTACTGCTTTACTATACTTTTCCATGATTTCAATCCGGCCTACGGCCAATTCCATCTGAACGCCAATAATGTGAAGACGTAACGTGAGATCCTTGTGATTCTCCCAGGCATCTGTTGGTAGCAGCTCAATCCCTTTGGCGACGAATTTGGAGGCAGAATTAAAAGCAGATATCTTTTTGGCCTTTTCTCCGGCACGGAGGTTGAGCTGGGCAAACTCTAGTCGCCTTCCAACTTTGGCAGTGTTGATAAGATCAGTAACCTCAAACAGAAGATCTTCCAAGTCGTCATTGTCCAGCGCATGATACAGTGTGCATCCGACTTCAAACTGAAAGGCTGGCTCCGCCGCATCACCTGTCATGAGCGCCGTTTCCTTGACTTGATCGTGGACCCACCGATAGGTTCGATTGTCCACCTTCTCAAAAAAGTTTGCTTTGACTAATTGCGCCAGCAAACTCGCCAGATCCTCTTCGGGGGTGTCCAACTTTGCCCATAGATAGTAGAGAATATCAAACTTTATTCGTTGCCCAAGGCATGCGGCATATTGCAATAACAGCTGTGTCGATTGTGGCAGCTTTTTCATTCTCGATCGTACCAAGTCCACTACATTAGCGGTCGACATTGTCCTTTGGTCAATGACACTTGAATCCCATCCCCACTCTAGGGTACCAAGATTGAATGACAGTAGCCGTTCTTCTTCCAACAGAGACACAAACTCGATCACGAAAAAGGGATTGCCCATGGATCGCTTGAAGCAAACCTCTGCCAAACTTTGAGTCCGAGTCTCATCGGTTATTGATAGAAGTGCCATGATCAGGTGGTTCACTCCGTCTAGATCAAGATTCGTCAACGATATGTTCGTAATGTGGAACTTGAATCTGTTTTGCTTTTCTTTCAGTCCTTCAATTCTGCGAGTCAGAACATGTGAGATGTCGTTAACTTCCTCGGATCGGAAGCATCCAATAATCATGAATTTGTGTTCGTTGCCCGTATCCGACATTAAAAAGTCAATGACGTTGAGCGACGATACATCAGCCCACTGCAAATCATCTAATAAGACAATCAATGGACCACAGCAGGAGCTCATGACACGGGTCATGACACGAAAGGCGTGTTCAAATTTGGTTCGTGCGGCTTCCACATCAAAGCTCTCGATCCGTGCTTTTCGAACGGACTGAACCTCAAAGGGAAGAATCAAATCGAGCTGTGGGATGAGTTGCGCCAATAAATGAATGTCTTCTCCGACCTCTTCCAGTAGTATTTGGCCAATATCATCTGTGGTCTTTGCTTGTTGTTGGCGACTAATGTTGTCACAGATGTTACCAAAGGCAGTAGTGATGGCCGAGTAGGGGACATTGGAACTTGTAATGTCGAATTTTCCTTCCCCAATCGTCACAGTAGGACACAAGTCCAAAGCTTCCTGCTTTACTGATGCCAGCAAGGCTGTCCTTCCAACTCCACTATGTCCATCAATAAAGACTCCAAATCTTTTGACATCATCTTCTTCTTCCGAAGAACTTGTGGTTGATGTTGTTGTCAGCAACATTCTCCTAAGAAGAGACTTTAAGATTTCAAGTTCTTCTTCTCGACCAATGAGGCCCACGGAATCAAACCGCAGTTTGTTGAGGGTGAGCTCTTGGATGGCGGCATTGGTTCGTAAATCAGCATCGTCTAAGGGTGCCAATTGTCGAATAAAGGAGGAGGAGCGTCCCAATCGGCCCGATAACTGAGAAGAAACCTCATCGGAATCCAATGTGATAACAGAGTCCACCGACACTACCGATGGCATAATGACAGAAGGTGTGCCGTTCAAGTGACGATGATTTCGACTCTCCTTCATCTCTTCGGAAGATTGGGTTGGGGATGACCCTGAATTCAATCGTCGCTTTCCAGGCATCTGCTGATATTGAATTGTTAGCAGGGGAAGGCCTTCCATTTGGATAGGCAAATAAATGACTGCTTGGTGATTTCTGGCCCTCTTTTGTCGTTTTTTATATGCTCTTGTTTACAGCCAGCTACCACTGTAGGACTACAATGCCAGATGGGGTTGTGCTTGTCAGCGCAATATAATACTCTACTGGTGGATGGTTCTGTTCCTTATTTTGAGCCGCAACCAAACTCCGTCAGGTGTGTCCCCTTTGACGATATGGAACACGATCGATCACTATTTTTCCAAACTGTTCCAGGCAAGATGATATTCGATTTAACAAAAGACATTCAGGAGCTTCCTGGAAATATGCCTCGTGCTAGTAACTAAGAAAATGACTTGTAAATTCGCCGCAAAAGTGTTTTCTTAGCCTCCTCGTGCACCGGTACATGTTCAATGGACCGCAAATTTCTGCTCAGAAGTCAATGAGTCATTCGGACGTGTCAAAACGAACCATCTGACTCAATGACGAATGACGCACATCATCATCAAAAAAAATCCACAACAACGGATTGGTTTTGCACCACTTCATCGTGCTTCAAACAGGAACAAGTACGTCGTTCTAACATAAGGTTTCAAGAAGGTTTCAAGAAGAGAAGAATCATGTCATTCGTTACCCGAGCCACATCTTGTTTTGCCTCGTCATCCTCCTCCTCCTCCCTTATGCGAAGGATGATGGTCAACCACCACAAACAAGGGTCGTTTGGACCACCCTCTGCACGTCGTTGGGTCCATGTGGAAAAGAGACTGGAAGAACTAGGAATCACTCTTCCAACTCCATCTTCCCCAAGAGCAAATTACAACAGTGTCTGTCATGCTTCTGGAAATATGATGTACATTTCGGGTCATTTGCCGTTTCGACCGGATGGCACTCTCATTACGGGACGGATTGGAGAAAATGGATTGGACAAGGAGCATGGATACGAAGCAGCCCGCAATGCTGCTTTGAATATTATTTCCACTCTCAAACAAGAACTTGGAGATTTGGATAGGGTGGAGAAGATCGTCAAAGTGTTTGGGATTGTCCAATCGACGGGTGACTTTAAGGAACAGCATTTGGTGATGGATGGATGTTCCGATGTCATTATGGAAGTCTTTGGGAAAGAAGCTGGGTACCATGCACGATCTGCAATTGGAACGAATACGCTTCCCATTGATATTTCAGTAGAAGTCGAAGCTGTGGTTCAGATTAAATCAGACTAGAAAATTAGTATAGGACTAATGTCACCTGAGCAGTGCTGTGATGTTGTGCTGTTTGGACGAGAGACAAAGTATCTTGTTTCTATCGAGAGCTATTATAGGTCGTTTCTTTGTAGATACTATCACATCAAGGCACCGATACTCAATGGGAGATCTCAGCCTGCTTGTTACAGTGACACCAACGGGAAAGTGACGCATAATATAAGCAGGCTGATGATTTCAGGGATCGCTTCCTTCTGCTTATTTTTTTGGTGGAATTTTGCTTCCATTCTTTTCCATATATAGACATGTTGGTATCACACCCTTGTTCCTTGTGTATTTCTTCAACTGAGACATTATTAATAATACTTCGACCGAATCTCGATCATTGCTTGATTCTCTTCATTTCCTAGTGTACCGAATGGAACCACGACTTTGCATAGCTCATCGGCCCTAGATACAATCACATTGACCTACTGCTACTGCTCAGAATGTGTTCTAGTAAAAGCCTACTATAACAGATCCATTTCATCAAGGAATACAATTGCATTCGGGATGATAACCGAAGCACCACGTCGAATCCGGCATGCTTCTCGGTCGTTCGTTCTTACGGCATCATCTGCTGATGCATTCTTTGCCAGCTCCGCCTCCGTTTTCCACAAAGATAACCCTAACAAAGATGTGGCTTCAATCTTCTCGTACTACAACAGAGCCATGGACGCTTCTTGAAGCTAGGATTGTCGTTGCTCCTCTTCATCCTGAGCAAGAATCGCATTCACCTTATCCGACATGTCCGTGTTCCATGCTTCTAATGCCTTCCAACTCGATATGGAATCCACCATCCATCGATGAATAGTCACTTGCAGTATGGTTTGTGTATCTTCAGTCGGATGATGGCTCTGTCGCCAGTAATATTCAATGGCAGTCTTTTCGTTCACGTCTTTCCACCCAAAGACATTCGGTGGATACGCATCTAGCAAGACTTGAAAAAGATCAAGTTTACAGTTTGCCCCCGACAGTAGGACGTGAAATGGTGTCACAGCGAAACGATCTACCAAATGGCATTTTAAAGAATTGTCGTGATCGTGGGTAACATGATTGCCTTGGGAGTATAGTAGCATTGATGACTCAATCTCCCCCGAGCCAGCTCCTCAGTTGTCGTAGATGAGGCGTGATAACATTTCTTGTGTATCGGGAAGTTGTCGAACCGATGCATCAGGGCAAGAGGGATTTGGCGTGCCGGCATATTGGTTTTGTAGCGTTGTGCAGCCTGAAAAGCTATTGAAAATTCACACCGACGGGATGATCATCATCGTCGAAATCGGCATGATCTACCGTCGACGTCACTATTTGGGATTCGGAGGGACGGCAAACGTTAACTAAAGCGCTGCATCCCGAACAGACACCGTTCTTTGTTGTCAAAGCTCTACTACCGGTAGGGCTACCTCCAAATTCCACTGACACCAACTTGATACATTCGAAAAACACCCAGCCGCCAATCGCTTCAACGGACTCCGGTAGTGCAATTGATTGCAAATTCTCGCACGATTGAAAGGCGCAAAGAATTGCAATCGCTGAATATCTCTTGTTCAACGCGCTCAACCGTGGAAGGAATGTTGATCGTTTCCAATTTGACACATCCATAAAAGGCCTGTTCTCCAATCACTTTCAAGTTCCCTTCCTCAATGTTAATTTTCTGCAACGAACTGCAGTCAAAAAAGGCACGGAAATTGATCGTCTCAAGAGTTCTCGGAATGTCCACATTATTTTCCAATCTGTCACAGTAGCCAAAAACCTCATTTTCAATAGTTTTCAGTCCCTCCTGGAAGAACACTCTTGCCAAGAGTTCTCACAAATTAAAGGCAGCTTCTTGAACGGTCTCCACACTAGAGGGAATGTTGGCTTCTGTTAATGACTTGCAATTGCAAAAGTCCCTCATTCCAATGATAGTCAACAAACAAACCATCTTCACTTTTGTCAAAGTTGTCAAAGATCGACATTCCTCAAATAAGGCATGACTTCTCCAATAATGGACACAGACCGAGGAATTTCAATTTCTCCCAAACTTCCACATCCATGAAAGGCACGAGCCCCGATGGTCTTCAATTCGGATCCGCTAAAGTTGACGCGTGTCAGCCGTTCGGAGACCATAGAAACTTTGTCTGGAATAGTTTGAACGAGAGGATGAACCACTAGTTCTTCCACGTCTCTTGGAATACTTTCGCCTTCATTACCAAAGTAGTGATATAAGACGTCATCTAATTGAATGAATCTATAGTATTCTTCAGAATATCAGTCAGGAATTCGAGCTGTCGTACATAGTAGTATACTGTAGGTCACCGCGATGAGGATGCGATGCGATGCACGATGATGCGATGCGGTTGATTGATTGATTGATTGATTGATTGATTGCATTCATCATTCCATTGCGCGGACGCGACCGCGCGGATGCGTGGGAGCGCGCGGGGAGGGGATGGATCGATTCGACTCGTTCGAATAAATCCAAAATTCTTCTTCGCGGTGCATACGGTATATCATTTTATTATAGTCATACAATACCGCAACTAGAACGCAGTAGAAGATGATCCATCATCATCGTCTCAATCTTCAATTTGTCTTTTGTTGTATACTCTTTGCAGGTCATCATTGTTTTGGTAAGAATTGCGGTGAATGATGTGGTGATGATAGCCTAATTTTATTGCCTGCCTTTTCTCACATAATTTCGTTGTTGTTCCAAATACTACCCCCAAAGTTCTCTCATCATCGAACACTTATTATTACAAAGAAAGCAATGTGCAAGTGGGCAACAATGAAGATGATAATGTTTTACTTCACACGCTGGAATATGGTGATTCTCAATCGCCAGTAGTATTACTGCTCCATGGTTTTCCTGACCTGTCACTCTCCTGGCAGTATCATGCACAAAGATTGGCAGAAGAAGGATATTATGTGGTGACACCGGATATGAGAGGATTTGGATCCTCGTCCATACCCAAGGGAGAGCTTGAGGCCTACAGTCGACAGAGCTTGGTATCGGATGTGGATGCATTACGAAAACATTACTGTGGAGATGATGGGTCGTTTGCCATGCTGGTCGGCCATGATTGGGGAGGGGTGGTGGTGTGGGCGACACTCGAGGCCTTTGGGCATGGTCCAACAAAAATAGCGAAAAGCGCAGTTTTGATCAATGCGCCTCATCCTCGTATCTTTTCCAACTACATATATACTCCAAAACAGGCTCTGAAATCATGGTACATATTTTGCTTTCAGCTCTATTGGTTTCCGGAATTCTTCCTACATCGAACTCAGAGTTTGTACTACTCGAGTCATGAAGTCGAATATCAACATCTGGTTAATGGCCTCGGGCTTTCAATATCAAACGATAAAGCAAGCTGTACTGCCGAAACTAATGTCAACGAGGAGGAGTCAACCTGTTCTGTTTCAAAAGATGCCAAAATGCCTTATACTACCATTGAGGTGGAACGGAATCTGGCCATTTTCAAGGAGGCATTGACCGATCGGGATCGCATTCATGCCATGCTCTCGTACTATCGTGCCATGACAGCTGGCTTTTGGTCCGAACCAAGAGTCGAACTTTCTCTTGTGAATCAAGCCATTCGATGGCTGCACAATAGTAATGGAAATGGAAACGAGGGATCCGACGAGGCATCAGAGCAACCAATGGATAGCAGTACTCTTTCTAGTCGCGGTGTTTCAATTCCTACAATGATACTTTGGGGAAAGAAGGACAAGTTTCTTGGCGAGGAACTAGCGTCCGCCCCAGATGGACTGCTGGAAAATTATCAAGGCACCAAGTTCTTTGATGACGCTGGCCATTGGGTACACTGGGAGAAGCCGCTGGAAACTGCCGAGGCACTGATACAATTTGCGAACACTCACAATAAGGGACAACCAGCAGTATAATAAATTGTCAATTGTGCAAAAATGGGGGGCTTCGAATATCCAAAAAAGGAAGAACCAGCAGTGCATTGACAGCTGTGTGTGAAGTCATTTGGAAGCATCATTGACTGCCCGTCCCGCAAGAGCGACTGAATGACCAACGAAGAGTTATACTTCAAGACGCGGCGCAATTTTTTCGCTACCACTTTTCTTTTTCTTGGAACGCAAGGGCTCCTCTCTCTTCAAGCTCCTGCAATATCCTCATGGGCCCATGTTCATTATTGGTAAAGTCCAGAGTGATGTCTGCAATCTCCTTGACTTCTGAGTCCGCATTCTTGACGGCCACTCCCAATCCAGCCATATGCAAGAATTCAATATCATTGAAGGCATCTCCAATGGCAATTACGTTGTCCAAAGGGATGTTTAGTTTGTCGCACATGTGCCTCAATCCAACTCCCTTGTTGCTCGTGGCTTCCAGGATTTGGACAAACCAGGTGGATCTGCCCTTGACGATGTGCGCTTCGGACGGATCAAATTCTTCGTGAATCAGCGTTCGAGCTTTTAGATTGTCTGTCGGGTCGAATAATAACAAGAGTTTCGATGGGAGCTTATTGTTTTCGAGTATATCCTGATAGTAGTCATCATCGATATGTTGTATTCTCACTCCAGTCATGGCGGTGTACTTTTTGGTACACTGATAATGGATTTCAGATTTTTGATTGGCATAGACAGAGTTTTTGTAGAAGTATTGTAGACAAAAGCCATGCTTGTTTGCAAGATTGAGAGCCCGCTGTACGATTGGCTTTGGTACCGTAAATTGGAACTGTTCCTCAATGACAGGATCATCATTTGAGTTGCTTCCTCCTGGAGACCAGAGCAGTCCACTTGAACCGTTAGAACAGACGATAGGTAGTCTAGGAATCTGAAGCTTGGCGGCATAAGCATAAGTCCCTGTGGCAGATCGCCCTGTAGCAATGCATACAAGAAAACCTTTCTCGGACAAAGCACGAAGATAATCCGCCTGAATGTCAGCCAAGCTTCCATTGGAAGCGAGCAAAGTTCCATCAAGATCCAATGCTACCATTTGATACCGCTTCATCATATTTGATGCAGTGCTTCTGTTTTCGCTTGTGGCGCTTGAAAGGATACCATTTGAAGGCATCTCATGGGAAGTAGAGTGTGACATGTCACCAACCCCGTGGAGCCGTTGGATAGACCGCAAATAAAACAATAAATTTTCAATTTGAAAATAATGCGAATCAAAACCCAGCCTAAAATAGTACCTTTCCTATTTTGCGCGCATGCGGCTCCACAGGTTATGGGGGATTTTCTACCAGAAAAAAGTCATCACGATGAAAAATAAACAAAAATCAGACCGTTATTGTCAGCATTTCCTACCGTAGCATATATAATATATATGGTACAGTATGAACGATAGGCCGAGAACGTTCTACCATGAGGACTCACCAGGTAGACGGGGTTATGGCAGAGCGGAACGAGATGTGGAGGAGGAAACACCATATAGGCGGCGAAATATAGCAGAACGAGATTCGGTAAACATGTCCAAAAACAACAAAAAGACTGACATTTGCCTGGTTGTCTGCTTGTTGCTATCGGCGGTGTTGGGTGTGGGTGCTTGGATGTGGCTACATATGGGAAATTCAAGAGCTGAAGGTGCTAATTATGAGCCCCTGCATCAATCATCGAAAGCTATACCCGACATACCCATATCTGTTGTGAAGCCTGGAATGATGCCGACCTCCAACCCGACTGATATACCTACTGTTGAGCCTGGAATGCCTACTGTTACTCCTTCAAAGCTTCCGACTATATATCCAACTTCTACTCCTTCAAAAATTCCCACTCTACAGCCATCTGTTGAACCTGGAATGCCTACTGTAACTCCTTCAAAGCTTCCCACTATATATCCAACTACAACTCCTTCAAACATTCCCACTCTTCAGCCATCTGTAACACCATCATCAGGTCCTTCTAGTCTACCGTCAGCTGTTCCATCGGTGGCCCCTTCTACGCAATCAGCATGGATTGGCAACATCATCGTTGACATTGCTCGATTTGGTGGGAGAGAATTCAGCCAGCTCGATACTTATCAACGCAGAGCGATGGATTGGATAATAGGGAAAGGATATGGCATTGTCATGGGAGCGTCGGATGACATGCCGTTTGAAGAGGTGGTGGTTCAATTGTACGCTTTGGCATGTACCTACTATAGCACATACAGAGTGCCCAACGATGTCACCAATGTCTTGCTCGACACTAAGGAGGCAGTCCGTGGTTGGAAAACTTCGCGTCGCTGGATGATGTCCGGGTCCAATGGCGGATGTGACTGGTATGGAGTGACTTGCAACTCTCAAGGAAGAGTGGAAAAGATCCGGCTGCCCAACAACGGGCTCACTGGTCGCATTCCTCCCGAACTTGCATTGCTAAAGGATTCCCTCCTGTACCTCGATTTGTGCCAGAACGACATCCACAATGTGGGTGAATCTGGAAACTCCTTCTTGGGCGAAATGACCAATCTGCAGTACCTGTACTTGAGTCAGACATTTTTCGAGAATGATGGTATTCCACCCGAGTTGAAAAAACTTTCCAATTTGATCGAGTTGGACATTTCCTTCACTTCTTGGTTTGGACCATTGAACTCGAATCCTTGGTCCGGACTTTTCAATCTGGAATACTTGGCCATGAATGGCAATGTATTCAAAACGGCGTTGCCAGAAGAGCTGATTCGATTGCCCAAGTTGGAGTACTTTTACATGGTCGACAGTTTTTTGACGGGAGACTTGGAATGGGTGTCTCGCATGCCAGTCATTCGCGAGCTATGGATTGACAACAATCCATTGTCTGGTGTGCAAATTCCAGACTCGCTGAGCAGGGCTTTCACATTGGCTAGCTTTTCCGCAGGCAACTGTGGTTTGACTGGGGCCATTCCAGCTTCCTTGGGAAATTTGGCGGAACGCATGACTCACTTGTGGTTGAATGATAATGGATTGACGAGCATTCCTGGAGATCTCTCCAAGCTAGCCAATCTCCAAACCTTGAGTTTGAAGGGCAATGAGTTCAATCGTGCTGGAGTTCCAAGCGAGATCTGTTTTGACCTTGGACGGTTGCAAAGCATGGAAGTCGATGCTTCAGTCCCCTGTGAATGTTGTACCTGCTGCGGCCATGACAATTTCTCGGTTCAAAGGATCGGCACACGAACATGGAAACATCGCAACGAATAGCTTGACTACGACAGAGTTCCACCCTCCAAACAATGTAGTCCGTATGTTGCCAGAACAAGAACAGAAAGATATTGCTACTACACTTTGCGGATGACATTCATCCGTCATTGAAGTACATCAATTTGTTGCCCTTTACTCCATCTGCTACTGGATATTTTGATGGAGGGAAGCGCCTGACATACTCCGAAAATGAACAGTCCATTAGTGAAGAGAGATTTGCTTGAGTAGCTACCGCCTGCCGTGGTGGAAATCCAATTCTCCCTTTTCCTCTAGTTCTTGTAATATTCGCATGGGTCCATGATCGTCATTGGTGAAGTCTAGAGTGACATCCGCAATTTCTTTGACTTCCGGTACCGCATTCTTGACCGCCACTCCCAATCCGGCCATTTGCAAAAACTCAATGTCATTGTTAGCATCCCCAATGGCAATCACCTCGTCCAGTGGAACCTTTAATTGCTCGCACATGTGCTGTAACCCCATCCCCTTGTTGTTGGACGCATTCAGAATTTCCAGGAACCGAGACCATTTCCAAGATCCTGGCACTATTGTGGCCTCCGATGGACCAAAGGCATCATTAGTAGCTTGAAGGGCGTTATCATAGTCTACTGAGGAGTCAAATAAAAGCAGCAGTTTGGTTGGAAGCTGATCCTTGTCAAGCATTTCTTGATAGTCATCTTCGATATGTTGGATTCGGATACCTCGTCTCTCGGTATACTTTTTGGTGCAAGTGTAGTGGCTTTCCGACTTTTCATTAGCGTAGACAGAGTCCCGGTAGTAGTATTGAAGGAAGAAACCATGCTTGTTTGCCAAATCGATAGCTCGTTGTGCAACGCCTTTTGGAACTAGAAATTGAAATTGGTCCGCAATGACCGGATCATCCTCCGATTTGCCTGGAGACCAAACGAGTCCACGCGCTCCATTGTTGCACACGATGGGCAGTCTAGGAATCTGCAACTTGGCAGCGTGATCATATGTTCTCCTGGCAGATCGACCAGTAGCAAGGCATAGAATAAACCCTTTCTCCGACAGACCACGGAGGTATTCTGCTTGGACGTCCGCCAAGGTTCCATTCGAAGAAAGCAAAGTGCCGTCAAGATCCAAAGCTACCATTCGGTACCGTTTTGACTTCTTTCGCGTAGTGTATGGGCTTCCACTTACTGCTTCGGAAGGGATGTCATTTGGTGGCATCGTTTTGGGAGCAGATTTGATGATGCGATGATGAATGATAATAAAAATGATGCAATGAAACTAGAGGAGTACCTAGAGCCTTTTTACGCCATTAGATTATACTTTCATAAAGGAATGCAACCGCATTCGGGATGATCACTGAAGCACCACTTCGAATACGGTATCCTTCTCGATCATCCTTATCGAGTATGGCCCTCGCTGCATGATCTGCTGATCTATGATCTGCTGGTTTCAAATTCGTTTTCCACGAAGGCAACTCTAACAAGGATGTAGCTTCTTTCTTTTTGTACCGCAACAGAGCTATCGACGCTTCTTGAAACAAGAATTGACTCTGTTCCATTCCCTCCTCAGCAACAATAGCAGTCACTCTACTCGACATGTCCAATTCCCACGCTTCCAATGTGTTCCAACTTGATGGAGAACACACCAACCATCGATGAAGAACCATTCGAAGCATTGTTCGGGAGTCTTTCAGATTGACGAAAGCTTCGTTGGATCAAGTATTCAACAGCAGTCTTTCCGTTGACGTCTATCCATCCAAGTACATTTGATGGGTACGCATCTAGTAGAACTTCCAATAGATCAAGCTTGCAGATGGCAGCCGACAGGAGAACGTGAAAGGGTGTCATACCAAATGGATCGACCAAAAAGTCGAAGTTTGTATTGCTTTCTTGCGATGCTCGCATTGATGACTCAATCTCCCAAGCCAGCTCACCTGTTGTTGTACCAGAAGCGTGATAACATTTCTTGTGTATGGGAAAGTTGTCAAAACGTTGCTGGAGCGCAAGCGGGATGTTCGTGCTGCCATACTGGTTGTGCAGCGCACTGCAGCCCGTGAAACTGTTGAGGCTGACCTTGTTAGAATTTGTCAGGGCTAATCGGGATTCGGAGGGAAGACATATGTTTACTAAAGACGTGCATTCCGCAAAGACCTGGTGATGTATCGTCACAGATCTGCTACCCCTTGTCAATTCCACTGACACCAACTTGGGACAGTCGTCAAAAGCACAGAGGTCAATCTCTTCTACGGATTCCGGCAGTGCAACTGATTGAAGATTCTTGCATGAGTAAAAGGCATTCTCTGAAAGATACTTGGGACCATTCTGAAACTGCATTACACGCAAAGAATTGCAGCTACTGAATACATATTTCTGAACGCGCTCAACAGTGGAAGGAATTTGGATTGTATGTAATTTGACACAGTCATCAAAAGCCCAGTCTCCAATCTCTGTCAGGTTTCCTTCTTCAATATTCACTTCCTGCAAAGAAGCGCAGTAGCGGAAAGCTTCGCTGCCCATCTTCTCAAGAGTTCTCGGAATGTCAACTTTTTCCAATTTGACACAGAAGGCAAAAGCACGCTCATCGATTATTTGCAGTCCTTCCTGAAAGAACACCCTTGCCAAGCATCGGCACCTAGCAAAAGCTGACTGTTCAATGGTTTCCACACTAGAGGGAATGCTGACTTCGGCCAATGACGAACAATTCGCAAAGCCATACTCTTCAATAGTTGTTAGTAATCCATCGTCGTGAAAATGAACTTTTGTCAATGACCGGCAATACGCAAAGGCCCAATCTCCAATAATCGTCACAGATTTAGGAATTTTGACTTGCAACAAGCTTGCACATCTATGAAAGGCACGAGCTCCGATGATGTTCAGTTTGGATCCATTGAAGTTGACTCGTTATCATCAGTTGATGACTGGCAAATGCTATAACTCCTGCATAATTCACTACCGCCTTAAGTGACGCTAGCTTAATGAAGGAATGCAATCACATGCGGAATGGCAACTGAAGCACCACTTCGAATCCGGAATGTATCTCGGTCATCCTTTCTTACTGCAATCCTCAGTGCATCATCTGCTAAAGCAGCAGTTGCAATTTTCATCTCCACTTTCCACAAAGAAAGCTCCAAAAGCGTTGTGGCTTCCATCTGTTCGTACCGCAAAAGAGCCATCGTCGCCTTTTGAAGCAAAGATTGTCGTTGTTCCACGTCATCCTCAGCAACAATCGCATTCACCGTATTTGACATGGCCACGTTCCCTGATTCCAATGCGTTCCAACTTGATAGAGAACCCACCAACCATCGATGAAGGGCCATTCGAAGCATGGTTCGTTCGTCTTCATTCAGATAGCTTCGTTGGTTCAAGTATTCGATGGCGGTTTTTCCGTTCATGTCTTTCCACCCAAGGACATTTGCTGGATACGCATCTAGTAGGAGTTTCAAAAGATCACGTCTGCAGTTCGCAGCCGATAGAAGAGTGTGAAAGGGTGTCATACCGAAAGGATCTACCAAAACATCGCTTGGATCATCTTCTGAGGATGGCATGGATGACTCAATCTCCAGAGCCAGCTCACGTGCTGTTGTAACAGAAGCGTGGTAACATTTCTTGTGTATCGGAAAGTTGTCAAAACGACGCACAAGAGCATGCGGGATGGCCGCGCAATTCCAGGAATAACCATATTGTTTTCGCAGCGCAGTGCAGCCGGAAAAGCTGTTGATGCCAACACCACCGGAGTGGACGTCATCAGGACTTGATCGGGATGATCGGGACTCAGAGCGAAGGGAAATATTTACTAAAGACACGCATTCCGAAAAAGCACTGTCTTCTATCCTCAGGCCTGTAGGGTGATCCTCGAATTCCACGGACACCAAATTGAGACATTCTCCAAAAGCCCAACTTTGAAGCACTTCTACCGATTTCGGTAATGCAACTGCCTGCAAATTCTCGCATGAGTAGAAGGCTTCACTTCCCACAAATTGAAGGCCATGATGAAACTTCATGACCCCCAAAGAAGTGCAGAAGCTGAATGTGCAGGATTCAATACGCTCAACAGTAGAAGGAATGTTGATTGTTTGCAAGTTGAAACATCGCATAAAGGCCCGCTTTCCAATCTCTTTCAAGTTTCCTTCCTCAATATTTACTTCCTGCAACGAAGTGCATTTATAAAAGGCATCGCTGCGCAATATTTCAAGAGTTCTTGGAATGTCCACTTTTTCCAATTTGAAGCAGCCTGTAAAAGCACGCTCATCGATTATTTGCAGTCCCTCCTGAAAAGATACTCTTGCCAAGGATCTGCAATTAATAAAGGCAACAGCGCCAATGATCTCCACACTGGAGGGAATGCTGACTTCAGCCAATGACGAGCAACCGGCAAAGGCTGAATCTCCAATGGTAGCCAATACACCATTTTCATGAAAACAAACTTTTGTCAATGACCAGCATTCTTCAAAGGCTCCATCTCCGATAGTCGTCACAGAGGGAAGAACATCGATTTCCAACAAATTTATACATTTATAGAAGGCACGCATTCCAATCACCTTGAGTGCGGATCCATGAAAGTTGACGCGTCTGAGTTGTTCGAACATGTAATACGCTTCATTAGGAATCTGAACGAAATGATATACACATAACTCTTCCACGTCTTCTGAAATGAATTCTCTTTTTCTGCCAGTGTAGTGATACAAATGCATCGTATAGAATGGGTTCCAGCTGATGTATCAAGACGAATGCGGAATATAGTTTATATTATGCAATATGAGATGAATTCTGATTTTCATACCGCAGATATCATATGCGCGATGCTAAGTGCAAAACGCGCACTGCGCGTTCACACGCTCGAAGAATATTCTTGGTTCACGTTGCGTTGCGCTCGCAATTGCGTTGCGCATGCGTTGCATTTCTGAATAATCGACTCCCTCGACCAAATATCAAAAGACTGTATTTAGAGACCTTTCATTTGCTCGACTGTTTCCAGAGGTGCATCAATGCCGAGACGTACATGTACATCAAAATGATCATCGGATGTTGCATTTAGATCATTTGAGGTGTTATGTCTCATACGAGTCATCTCACGATCTGCTGACAACATGCCACACCTACTGACACGACACCAATCGAAAGTAATAGAACGCTATACAGTGCCGAGCATCTTCCTATTTGGAATTGTTGTAGCAAAGAAATACCAAACACCAAATCAACTACACAATGCCAAACGTGCAGTCCATTGCCGAAGGGAGTCCAACTTTGTTTGTTAGTTTGTTTTACTGAAACGCCAATTCTCCCTTTTCCTCCAGCTCCTGCAATATTCTCATGGGTCCATGATCGTCGTTGGTAAAGTCTAGATTGATATCGGCAATTTCTTTGACTTCCGGTTCGGCATTCTTGACGGCAACTCCCAATCCAGCCATTTGCAAGAATTCGAGATCGTTGCATCCATCGCCAATCGCAATGACCTGATCGAGTGGGATTTCGAGTTGGTGGCACATGCGCCTTAGACCAACCCCCTTGTTGCTCGTTGCATTTAAAATCTCCATAAACCACGAGCAGTACCCCTTGACAATGGTCGCTTCTGTGGGATCAAATTCTTCATTTGCCACTTGACGAGCCTTTGTGCCATCCTTGTCATCAAAGAGCAGCAACAGTTTGGAGGGAAGATGATTTTTCTCCAACAGTTCTTGGAAATCATCATCGATATGATCTATCCGTACTCCGGTATAGTCCGTGTACATGGTGGTGCACTTGTAATGGGTTGGATTCTTTTGGTTGGCATACACGGAATCCATGTAGTAGTATTGGATGCAATATCCATGCTGGTTTGCCATACGAATGGCACGCTGGACCACTTCTTTGGGGACTTGGTGATGAAACAATTCTTCAATCATGGGAGCACTATTATCGTTGTCGTCCTCATTGCCATCCGAAATGCTGCTGCTGGGAGACCAAAAGAATCCACGGGAACCATTGGAACACACCACAGGAAGCTTGGGTATTTGCAACTTGGCCGCGTGATCATAAGTTCCGGTAGCAGCTCTTCCAGTGGCAATGCAGACATGAAATCCTTTTTCGGATAGGCCACGAAGATATTCCGCTTGGACATTGGCGACCGTTCGCTTGGTGGACAGCAAGGTTCCATCCAGGTCCAAGGCTACCATGCGGTATCGTCGTTTTAAAGTCTTGGGGATTTTTTTTGCCCGTTCGACTATTGCATCGTCATCGTTGCTAGTCGATGTCATCGTTTCAGAGAGAGCTGATGAGATTGTAGGCAACAGCAGAGACGGTGCAGTATTCTGTCTATTGAATTTATTGTTCATCGTTACCACCTGTCAGGTACTTCGATAGTCGCGTTTAGCACACATATTTTTAATAGTCTTTTTCATTATTTCCATCTTCAATATCTCCTTCTCTCACAATAACATGCGTCATAATACCCATAGAGAATGTTTGGTGTCAACCTGCTTCTGGGTTGCTTGCTAGTAGCCTGCCACCATTCCTTCGGTAAGTGCTGGATAGGTACTACATATCTGAATTATGGCTACGAAACCTCTTTGTTTGTCTAACCTCTTCTCCTCCGCCTCCTTCAAAATTGCATGACCATCTTATGCGCAGTTTGGTCCTACTATCAGGAGACTCATGTGCAAGTGGCCGACGAAGTCTTTCTTCACACTCTGGAATATGGTGATTTCAAGTCAGGGACAGCACCGGTAGTGCTCTTGGTGCATGGATTCCCCGATTTGTCAATCTCCTGGCAGTATCAAGCCGAAAAACTAGCACGAGCAGGATACTTTGTGGTCACGCCCGATTTGCGAGGATTTGGAAATTCGACCATGTCCACCACACTCGCAGCCTATGGTCGGAAAAATTTGGTTTCCGATATGGATGCGTTACGGAAACATTACTGCGGTAACAATGGATCCTTTGCCATGATTGCCGGACATGATTGGGGTGGTACCATTGTGTACGCTGCCTTGGATGCCTTTGGACTTGTTGCCGTCGACGACTCACCACCAATTGCCAAGTGTGCCGTCATTTTCAATGCACCCCATTCGCGAATATTTTTTCAATATCTCACGAAACCAAAGCAAGCCATCAAGTCCTGGTACATGTTTTTCTTTCAAATTCCATGGCTTCCAGAAGTATTTTTGACAGAAACCAAGGCTCTGTATCATTTGGTGGCCTATCATTATGAGACCCCTATGAAGTCGATTGTTCCGTCGGTTGATTATGTCGATAAAAATCTAGCAATGTACCGGGAAGTCTTGACCGACTGGGATCGGATCCATGCCATGCTATCCTACTATCGTAGCGTCAAGTCGGGTCTTTGGCGTGAATTGGGAGATACCTCAGACTTTTCGATTCTGGAACGTCTGATACAATGGCTTCATGGGATTGAACGCAATGACAAACAAGATAATAATTGTCAGACAGCTACTGTCAGTGGCGACGAAACAAACGATGTCAAAATTGCAGTACCTATACTAGTCCTGTGGGGTGACAAGGACATTGCCCTTTCCAACGACATGGCAGCGCCACCGAAAGAAATTGTGGAAACCTACTCGATAGAATACTTGGATGCCGGGCATTGCCCACATTGGGACAAACCACTGGAGACTGCCGAACGACTGATTCGTTTCACTAATGCACACAATGGGCGTGGTGGTACTACTGTAAAAGTATTGGATTGACCATGATGATGGTGATGATTGTGTGGCTGACAATACATAATAATCCAATGCCTAGCTACTATAATGTCGAATCATACTCCCTCCCTCTTTTGGCGTCATCGATTAAAAATGATTGATTTGATGACTGAATGAACACAGTATCATTCTAAAGGAGGGGAACTTTCCAAAACAAATAGAAGCAACCCAATCCACCGTGAAACACTAAGACCAAGTAACTTTATGCAGCCGCAATTTTTTGACTTGCAGCAACCCACTTTTTCAACAGCTCGGCAGCCTTTCCAGACTCCAAGGTTGTTCTTGCCAATTTGCATCCCTCTTCAATGTTCGGACTTGCTCCATAAATATAACAACCAACACCAGCATTCAAGACGATAGCATCACGCTTGGCGTCAGTGTGACTTCCTCCTTCCAATACCGCCTTGAACTTTTCGGCATTTTCCTCGGGACCTCCTCCCTTGAGATCAATCAATTGGCATCGAGGGATACCTACCGTTTCAGGATCAAATTCAAATGTTTTGGTTTCGTATTTTTTGGGTTCTCCAGCAGGAGCAATGTTCTTGATCTGAAATAGTAATGATGATGATGATGATAAAATGACGAATGAAGATTATTAGTTGACGAGTTGGCAACACAACATATGAAAGGATCGGCATTTTGTTTGACAACATGCGATATACAGCAATAAATTCAATGCGTAGAATCGCCTTACCTCCAACAATGTTGCTGGTCCAAGAGGACTGATTTCATCCAAACCGACTCCATGGATAATGACAGCATGATCGACACGTCCAACCTGTTGTAGAGCACCAGCCATGAGCGGCATCAAATGTGGATGGAAGACTCCAATAACAGCACGTTGTGCTCCCGCAGCATTTGTCATTGGTCCTAGAATATTGAAGCATGTTCTCAATCCCAAGCGCTTTCGAACGGGGGCGACATGTTTCATGGCAGGGTGGTTGACAGGAGCAAACATGAAAGCAACATTGACTTCCTCCACACACTTGACCACTTGCTCAGGAGTCAAGGCAACCTTTACACCAAGAGCTTCCAAAACATCAGCCGACCCACACGCAGAACTAACAGATCGGTTTCCAGCCTTGGCAACAGTACACCCAGCGGCAGCTGCCAAAACGACAGAGGCAGTCGAAATATTAATGGTATCTGCACCGTCTCCACCAGTTCCCACAATATCCAAAAGTTTCATGTCGCCGAGGTCAACGGCATTACAGGCTTCATTCATGGCTTGGACCATACCAGCAATCTCCTCTGGAGTTTCTTGTCGAGCCCGTAATAAAGTCAACAACGATCCGACCTGAATTTCATCCGCCCCTTGCAAGATGGCCGAGAAGGCAGCTTTGGTCTCTTCGGAAGTAAGATGGCGTTCGCCAGCAATAAGCGTTTCAATGTATGGCTTCAAGGAGGCAGACATTATTCTGAATTTTGGATAGTTTGTCGTTGGATGACAGATGAAGAAAGATATAATGATGTTGTTGTCTTCTGCCTTTGATTTTCAGATCGTAATACCGATAGTTAGTTCGCACAAATCATCGCCTTCCACGACGAACCTGTTTGCGCATCTTCGCGCATTCATGACTGGTGAAATTCGTGATACGAACTTGAAAACCGCAGGCAACCGAACTTGTTTTGCGCATGCCGCGTACTCATGACTTGTGGAATTCGTGTCACGAATTTGAGAACCGCCATCTGTCACCTGGCACATTGAACGACAAATTCATGACCAAGAATGACAATCGAACACCGAATATCATGACAAAAGACTTTACTATCCAAAATAATTAATGTCAGTTTCCGTACTTCCTGCGCACTCAAGGATGTTGACATTCGTCATCGAACCTGAAAACCGTAGGCCCAAGCAAATGGCCCTCGAATATCGGAAAAAAACGACTATTGTGTCCAAATCGTTAAATAAATTCCACTGATGTCACTCTGAAAATCCACTGAGGTGTCAGGCATACTGGAAATTGATTGGAGGAAAATATTCGACACAAAAGTCCGTTTCTTGTGGATTCGGATCCTTGCGCCAAAACGTCAGAATGATTGGTCGATTTCAATCTCAGCATCATTTCCCCTAATTGTTGCGCCTTTGTCAGTTTGAGCTTCGCTCTTCTGTTCGGGCATCAAACTCAAATTCACATCACTTCTTCCTCCTTCTTTTTGCTCCCATAAAAATCAGAAGACATCAAATCAAACACAAAAAAGACAATAAAGCAAACATGATGGCAACAATGGTAACCTCAGAAGAACTCGAATGTCGTGACATTCTCAACGATGTTGGTATCTTCTTCTCTGAAGACTTTGGCCTACTCGAATCAGGCCTGACGGATGGCGGCGATGACTTCAATGATTTCATGCCGATCTCCATGACAAGTCCAAGCACAACCAAGCATATCCGAGTTTCCCCTCCTACCACTCCGGAAATGCCAGCATCAGATGCCTTGAAGGAGCTCGAAGCTCTTGCTTCCTCCATGCCAAGAAGCGTTTCTCAGTTCTCATTCCTGAATCACCAACCACTACAAGGCATGCCGTCGCTACCTACCCTCATGCCAGTTCCCACAACCATGATGCCTGCTTCTGCTATGCAGCGTGCCGTCAGCGATATCTCAATGACTACGGCCCAAAGCCCACCAGCTGTTACAAACAGCAGAAAGCGCTCCGTGCAAGGAATGCTGCAGACACAGGCTGATCCCGAAGAACAAATCAGACGGTAAGATCATGTTGACGACGACGACGACTACACTTTTTTCCAGAAGCAATTATCTCACCCACTTTCTTTCTTTCCTCACAGAAACCGAAACAGAGAACATGCCAAGCGCAGTCGTCAAAGAAAAAAGGCTTTCACTGACGACCTTACAAGCACATTGGAGGCACTCCGTGAGGACACCGAAAAGCTTCGTCAAGAGCTATATTCCGCTCTTGGCAAAGAAGAAGTGGAATCCATCTTGGAAGAACAAAAACAAAAGAGACAAGATGATTTCCTTGCCGCCGTCAAGGACCCAAAAAACCGAGTGTTGGATGCATCTGCTATGAAGTTCCTAAAGGGTCTTTCGAAAAAGCTACCAAAGAACAACGAGGACTAAACAGTGCGGATGCAGTTCACAAGAACTCCTCCTCGCTAAACTAACTTGACACAGAAAAACTGTGAAAAGATTTTGTACATAATGTAAATACTACAACTATAATCGACAAATTTATATGATAAACGAAACATGTGAAACAAGGATAGACCCACAATTACCATGGAGGACAGGATGGGTTATCAGCTTGGTCATTAGTTTGTTACCAAGAGGAACACATTACTCCTGAACTTTGACTATATATGCATAGTCTGCCACAAATGTTTCAATTGAAGCATTGGATCATGGTGGTCCGGAGGAAGTTCACAGGATCAAGAGTGCAACAAGAGTGAGTGATACTCCTTTCACCAATCAAATTCCGATTGTCAAAAAGATTGATTCTTGTTTGCGACTAGACTAACCTAGTCTCTTCTAAATTAATAGCCGCATCTGACAGGCAAAAGCATCAATTTTCAAAAAAGCAAAATATCAATGTCTGACACAAAAATCGTCGCCTTGGCAAAAAACAAAACACAAAAATCGTCAGCTTGAAAAAACCGAAAAACTCAGACGCAAAACACGAGTGGATGTTCTAAAACTTTAGCTGTACCCTATGAGTCGTGATCGACAAAATAAATCGAATGTATAAAATAATAGCCGCTTCTGACCCTGAAATCAAAGGTCTAAAATTATAGCTGTATCTGACGCGAAAAGAGAGCCAAAAGAGAGCAAAAAAAGAGAATTGTAAAATAATACACGTCTGACACAAAAATCGTAGCTTGAAAACACAAAAATCACCTCAGACACACAAAATGACTGGATGTTTTAAAACTTTAGCTTACCCGCGACTCTTAAAATGATCTCTGACGTATCAAATTAAATCGAGCATCTAGAAAAATAGCCGTATCTGACGAAAAACGAGCTTCTGACGCGAAATATAAATCGACGGTCGAAAATTATAGCCACATCTGACGCGAAAACAGAGCCAAACACAAACCAGATGGTGCTAGCATCTGGCGACGTGGCCGACATCTCACTTAACGTGTTCGTGTTTTCTACGCTTTTTTCAATCGCTTTCTGCCAGCTCAGGTAAACTCAGGATTACGTGGTCAAAATTCCTTAAGGAGGAGGATTTTAAACGCCATCTGGGATAGACCATCTGCCTGATTTTGCTCCATATCGTTAAATGAGTGTCTATGTTGTTCGTTCTTCGTTAAAGGAATGCTATTTGATTAGCCTGACATCAGGGATTGTCATTATTACGTGGTGGTAAATTACTTAACGAATGTTTCAGATTCTTCGGTAAGGAAGCTGTAGACTACGTAGAAAGATACTTCGAGCGAGAAAACGAGAATTCCCAAATCAATCACAGACACGAACCATAAAACTATTTGCTCCCATTAAAGCATTTCCAAAGCCCATAACATCCAAACGATACACAACCAACACGAAAAATCAAACCAACAAAGGAAAGATAAATCTCGAACAAGCAACGATAACGCAACAAACCACAATGAATTCAAGTGAAGGAAGATACCAAGAAACTCTGGAAGACTCTGCACGATGGCTGTCAATGGCATCGGCATCTCCAGACAAAATTGTGAGCAGCAGGAGTACGCCATCAGCACCAGCAAACATGGGAACCGATGTCGATGAGAATAGCAGCATCGCTGATGAACCTTCCTCGATGTCCTCTGTCACCATGACGTCTCAATCTGGCGACGATGACAATGACACAAGCTCTGTCACATCCAGCACTTCTTCAGACGATATTGAATCCAGAATTTCGTTTCTCCACCAGAAACAACTTCTCCTCGAGCGAGCCATGAAAGCTTTGCGAAGAGAGGAAATGTACACAGCATCAATTGCCAAGTTTGTGACCGAGAAAGTGCATCCCTCCACTATCATTTCTCCTCTCTGGGAGGAAGCCAGAACCACACTAAAGTCATTCAATCGCGATGAAGATGCAATTTCCACCACATCATCGAAGGGATCCAAGCGAAAAGAAACAGAGTGCCGTGAAGAAAGTTCCAAGCGAATCAAGATTGACATCTCCACTGTCTCACGAATAGTGTCGAGCGCTGATGCCTTGATAGGCACTCCTGCTCCTGTTGCTGTCAGCGAAGACGAAGCAGATGAAGCCGAGCCATACCCTGTACAAGGTAAATGGATGGCAAAGTCATTTCTTCGACACCACAAGCCCTCCTATGATGTTTCCAAGTTTGATAACTGGAAGATCAAGAGAGATCCATTCGTGGGAAGCATTGTCATGCCCCCATCGCCAACTCCCTTTCTCCAAGAAACCGAGCTCAAGGACGCCCTTGCGTTCACTTCCACACCTCAGCTGATCACATCTGCTGTGCCTCCATTCAATATCGTGCACGCAAACGCAGCTTTTGCCATGCTCTCAGGAAGAAGCAACACTGTTGGATCCTCTGTGGAAAGCATCTTTGAGGTCGATGATGTTGTTGAATCATCAGCAGATTCTCAGCATACCTTCCCCAATCAGATTCGTCTGAACGGCAAGACTTGCCAGATTGAGCTCACGCCCATTCTTGACCGCGCACAGAAGTCCAAAGGAGGAGTATCTCACCTACTTCTGCAGGTCCACGAAGGCGATGCCATCGCCATGAATGACATTCCTTTGTCATCTATCGCGGCCACGCAAGGAATTGGAAACAATAATCGAGTCTTCCTTACCACTATTGGATAAATTGTTCAATCACCATTCCAGACTCCAGAATAAAATGTACAAAAGGAAGAAGGAATCGCAGAGAGTTTTGAATCGATATATACTATCAACCAACATCTCCAACAATTCAAGCTGTACAAAGAATACAATGAACAAAAAGAAATACACGAACAAATCAGGACATGAAAATGGAAACAAAATGTACAAACAATTCTGTCGTTCCAAAGTTGTTTTATAATACTAAGAATAATGTATAAAAATGAAAGATACACACCACAAAAGACAACAGTACTGTACGATAACTGAATATTGTGCTCTTTTGTATTTTAAAAACAGTCGTCCGTTAATAGTGTCCGTTGTCCATTTGACATCTGACGCCGCAGTTATTCTTCTTTTTGCTTCGTTATTTCCAGAAATATTCCAACGCATCACCATCATCCAAATATCTTTTACGATGAGGTTCAGTAGTATCCTATCGTTTCTGCTCTTGACCAGCACTGCCTTGTCTTTGCCAACTGAAGACCTTATTGAAGAGCTTCCTGGGTTTGGAAAGACTCCCACCCAGCATTATTCTGGTTATCTGGATGCGAGCAAAGGATGCGATCTTTTCACGAATGGACCGATCTGCAAGATTCACTACTGGCTAGCTTTGGCGGAAGAAGACCCCATGAAGAAGCCAGTCGTCTTATGGTTAAATGGGGGCCCAGGCTCTTCCAGTCTTTTGGGGTTCCTCCAAGAAGAAGGTCCCTTGCTCATGAATGCAACTGGAGGCCTCATGGTGAATCCATGGAGTTGGACCAAGCTGGTGAATTTGGTTGCGATCGAAGCACCAATGGGAGTTGGTTATTCGGTAAGTCGGATCATGCATTTTGACGTTGGTCACTAGCTATAGAAAGGAAACGGATTGACGATTGAGTCACTCACAATGAATACCGCCGAATATAGTATTGCAGTCGTCAAATCAATGGCAAGCCGTGCAAGAACACTGATCGCTACACGGCAAGTGCCTCTCGTGCCGCCTTGGTCGACTTTATCGGCACCAAGTTCCCTGAATTTGCCAAGAACGACTTCTATATTGCTGGAGAGTCCTATGCTGGCGTCTACATTCCAACTTTGGCCAAGGAGATTCTCGACCATACAGACATTAATCTCAAGGGAATCGCTGTCGGGGATCCATGTACCGATAATAAGGCCCAAGATGATTCTATGAACTCCTTGTGGTATGCTAACAAGTATGGACTCATGGATGAAGAAGTGTATGATTTGCTGTGGAATAAGTGCAACATTCGCATGCCAAGCTTGATGACCCGGGGCGGCATTGCTCACGTTATTTCCACGCTCAATGATGAATTAAAAGCAATTGAAGATTTAGCTGCAAGAAAGGAAAAGGCGCATGCTCTCTATCACCAAGTCGTATTGAACGGGGCTTTTCATCAGGCCAAAGATAGTCCTGAGTGTACCATCGCTTTGCGAAAGTTCATGATGAGTAGTTCTCATGGATTGTCACAGTCCTGGAAAGACCTGTACATTGACGATTATTCGCTGTTTTCCCCTCTTTCCAATCTCGAAGACGAGCAAATGGCAGAATACATATCCCGTGCTGATGTGCGCAAGGCGCTTCATGTGGAAGAAGCACCAACCAAATCTTGGCCTGGAGCTGATGTGGGCTTTGACTACACGAAGGAATACAAAGCGTGTAATTGGGGTGATGTACTCTTGGACATTTCCATGATTGACATTTACCGCGAAATTGTACCCAAATTGGAACGTACATGGATTTATAATGGGGATACCGATCCATGTGTTAGCTACGAAGGTACTCGATTGGCTGTCAAGCAGATCCAATTGAACGAGCTTGATGGCGGATCCTATCGTCCTTGGTTCTACAACCAAACTGCTGCCCCCATTGAAATTTTGGCGACAAAGGCTGCTCTTTTTGGCCCCAATCTAGTTGCCCAGAACATGGGAGCCCAATTTGGTGGCGAAGTGGTCGACTACGAGGAGGGATTGAGCTTTGTGACTTTCCATGGGTCTGGTCACATGGTTCCACAATTTCGTCCTCAAGCTGCACTGCACTTCCTCCAGCGATTCTTGCTATCAGGCAAACTTCTTAGCCCTTTGATGCCCTCGAATAAAACTTTGGCGGAGTTGGATGAGGCTGGATTCAGTTCCACCATGGCCGAATGGACCGAATCTGCCATGAAAGCTCCTTATGTGCTTCCCGACTTGGTGACTGATAAATTCTCTCATGCAAGGGATCCCACGGCTCATCAGATGAGAGTTGAGCTCGCTCTCCATTTGCACTAAAGTAACAGTCAGAATCTTAGTTTCGTGGTTGGAGAACACCAGGCTGAGCTAGCATTTTTGTACCTTAATCTTTGTGTCTGTTCGTCGTTTGCATTTCGATTGCCTAGATTCAGAATCTTAATCTAACTGGACTATAATATTTTTGTACGTTGATCTTTGTATCTACCGGTATTGTATTTCGCGTTTCGGTCCTCATCAACCCAAAGAAGAGTGTTACTCTCAACTTCCAGCATCATTTTGTCATACAAAAATTGTGGTGTCACTGACGCATGACGAACGTGGATCGTTTATAGGTCTCTTCACACCTGAGGAAAATTGTAATATACGTCGGTATTTTTAGCCGCGCCAGTCGGTTCACATATCCAAAAGCAAGATTTTGATGAGAAACATCATCATTCTCACATTCGATCTCTTTCCAGGACTGGAGCGAAGAAACAACTTTCTCATCATATAAATGACAATTCAATCAACATGGGGATATCAGGGAAAACGAAACAATCACAAGTCGCGATTCTGGCGATTTTATTGAATTCTTGTGTCTGTCATTCCAATCGAATAGGGTTAATGCCGACGAAGAAACCAGCTCTTGCCCCAACCGAAATGCCCACGTTCTATCCAACCGAATACCCGACAATAGTACTGTCAAAGAATACACATGTAGCCCCAACTGGAAATCCCACGCTGATGGGTGTAGCCGAATCAACCTCTATACCACCCACAACCACGCAACATCCCAATCAGAGCTCCCAGGCCCACGACCCTGCAATCATCACACCTTCACATGAACCAACAACGACGTCTTTACCACCTCCCAGTGCTTCGCCATCAGTGGCACCATCTGAAATACTGACAACGAGTCCATCGGGTTCCCCATCCCTGACAGATTCAGCACTGCCTACATCTTGGCCATCGCTATTTCCTTCCTCTGTTCCTTCGAAGAGTCTGAAGCCATCTATACAGGAATCAGAACGGCCGAGTGCAAGTCTACTGCCATCAGCTGTCCCTAGTTCAACGCTAACTCAATACCCATCGGCTGAGCATTCGGATGGACCATCGCAAATGCCTTCGATAAGACCAAGCACCACTGTGACTCCATCAGGAATACCAACCGCTTCAGGTTTTCCGACACTTGATCCATCTAGACCACCGTCAGATATGCCAAGTTTAACTCCCAGCACAAGTGGCCCATCGTCTTCTCCAAGTACAATACCATCGAGTCAGCCAAGCTATATACCCAGTCTCGAACCATCACAATCTCCTTCAACGATACCGTCTAGCTCCCCGACACTGACTTGTCATGATAAGGCGGACTATCGGAGCCCGATCAACGGATTGACGTGCCTTGACCACACTGGAACTGAGTGTTACCAATGGCGTAATATCGGTTTGAATACCAGTGCACTTGGTGATTTGATCAACAACTGCCCGGAAACATGCAACATCCCGTGTGGATCCTTCCTTGATTTCTCGATACCCGTGAGCTATCAATTGACAGGGCTTCCAGGATTACTCGATGATTTGTCGAAACTCAGCTTGGAACAGGTATCCTCCGACTATATTATAGCCTACCTCTCCGATGCTTCAGAAGAAATATTTGAGCTGGACACAGTGGAACTGAAGTCGCAAAGCTTTGCAACGCATGAACGATTACTCCGACGAAGCCTTCAAGCAATCCACCAACAAGCAAAAGCAACCAGTCAGAGAGTCATACGAAAGGAGATAGTGGTGGTCACTGTTGTTTTTGATGGATTCTCCATTGGTCTGGACTATGAAACTATATCTGAAATATTGGTATCAGGCATCCAGAGCACAGGTTTTGCACTTGCGCTTCAAGAGTCTGATCCCTTTTTCAAGAAAGCGGTCATTTCCTCTGCGGTAGACACCAAGGATACTACTATCCACGAGCCGGTTGATGAAGAACGGGAAGGGCCTTCCTCGGCAACGGTCCTTGTGTCAATTTTGGGCGTGATTGGTCTTGTGACCGCCCTCA